TGACTCGTCTTGTATTTCAGTACGTAAATACAGTATTATAGACACATATCTGGTCCCTGTTGCTGCACTTTCTAACATCTCAGAACCATAGACAATTAGGGTTGGAAGGGACTTCAGGAGGTCACATCTAGTCCAACCCCCCTGGTCAAAATAGGACCATCCCCAACTAGATCATCCCAGCCAGGGCTTTGTCTAGCCGGGTCTTAAAAACCTCCAAGGATGGAGATTCCACCACCTCTCTGGGTAACCTGTTCCAGTGTTTTACTACCCTCCTAGTGAGAACGTTTTTCCTAATACCCAACCTAAACTTCCCTTGATTCAACTTGAGACCTTTGCTCCTTGTACTATCATCTGTCACCACTGAGAAGAGTCCAGCTCCGTCCTCTTTGTAACAGGCAGTTAAAGGCTGTTATTAAATCCCCTCTCAGTCTTCTCTTCCCCAGACTAAATAAACCCAATTCCCTCAGCTTCTCCTCATTAGTCATGTGCCCCAGCCCTCTAACCATTTTCATTGTGCACCACTGGACTCTCTCCAATTTATCCACATCTTTTCTGTAGTGGGGGCCCAAAACTAGACACAGTACTGCAGGTGTTGCCTCACCAGTGCTGAATGGAGGGAAAGAATCACTTATCCTGTTTATTCTTGCAGTAAGGCATGGGGTAGGGCAGTGTTTTAATCCTCTCTTAATGATAGGGAATCAAAGGTAAGAGAGAGAGAGCCCACGTAATTTTTCCAGAATTACAAAGGGGCATAGGGACTTTAACCCCAGCTTTCTAGGGCTTAAGCTGGTGCCTTAATTACCAGACCATCCTTCTGTTACTAGAGCAGGTAGTTTACTCAAGTCCAGATACACTCAGTGCCTCCTTAGTCTTTCGCCCGCTGAGTGAGGGTAATGGATCCAAAAAAGTCTTAGTTCATATCCGTCTTGTCTCTTTTCCTCACACTTCAATGGCCTAACATCAGCATTGTCTCTGAGCCAGGCCCCAACAGAACTAAAGTGAAATGATCAGGAATGGGAAATCCCAGTAAATCACGTGCTAAAGACAAAGGGAGGGAGAGGAAGGAGTGGAAAAGCTGTCTTTGAAACTGCTGACGGGGTCTGACCGAGAAGGCATAGGGCAGCACAGGTATTCACAAGTTAGAGGCCCTCATTAAATCAAAAGGCATGTCTTAATTGGAGAGAATCCAAGGTAAGGCAAGAGCAGTGATGAAGTCAGATCTGTAGGCAGAAACCAGTGGAGTGTGAGTTTTGCACAACATAGAGCAGGGGTGACCACAAAGAGGTATGATGCCAGGCTCTACATTGCTAAAAGGGAAGCACACAAAGGAGGAATCAGCATTTATTACTGTGGGTCCAGAGATGGAACCTGCAACTCAGACAGACATGGTGCTAGCTGCCCGGACTTGCGGCCAGTAGCATAACACATGAGGACCAGCACACCAGCCTCGGTCGCCAACCCAGGAAGGAAGGACAGCTTGACTGCACTACCATCAGCACAACCACTGACACTGTGCTGTGGGTGGCTGCTGCCCTGATTGCCCAAGAACCCAGTTACACCTCTGTTTGTGGATTGTACAGGAACTGGCTGAGAAGGCAAAGCCCCATTGCTGGTGAGGTTCTTGAGATGGCACAAAGCACTTTCCAGCACCAGTATTTATGGACAGTCCTTCTGTTGTGCAGGAAGGGGATGACCTAGGAGGTCCTTTCCAGCCCTGTGACCTGTGGTCCTTCTGCTTGCATGTGTTGTCCTGCTGCTGCCCCATTGCTCATTCACACTGCTGCCATGCAGCCTTCCTGCCCTGTCCTGCTGTGGACACTTATTCACTACACTGCAGCCTGCATTGCCGGTTCTGCTGCTGCTCACATGGTCAGTGGACAAATGGGGTTCTTCAGATGCATGCGTTTGCTCTGCCGTTGCAGCTCCCTGCTGCCTCTGCATTTCACTACACTGTTCTGGTGGCTGCTTGCCCTACCTGAACTTGGTTACTCCTGAGTACCCATGGCCACCTCCCCATTTGGGAGCCAAGTGTTTGGCTTTTTCTAGACAAGCAGGTTTATGCTGTTCTTAGGATTGAGGTGACCTTGCTATGTCAAGCTGTATCAAATCAGCAACCTGCCACAGGGAGGCCTTTCCATGTGATATGAATGCAGTAGGAGGATTAAGGACACTGGTTTCTTCTTGACTGGCACGACAAGGTCAGTGGCACGACAAGTGCCAGTTGCAGCGGTAGTTTACTCTGTACCACAGCTCAGCTCTAGCTGTGGCCCTACATGTATCCCAGTGCAGCCTGTCCACTATCACCTGTTGCTCTTCTCTCATGTGATATATGCACATCCCTCTTTGCTCCATGTGTACTAAAATGAGAGGTGGGAGACTTGGTCTGCATTCAGATCTGCCAGCCAGCCCAGGTCATAAAAACAATTGCACATTACTCAGGCAGGGAAGAACCTCCTTTTTTTCCAAACCCCAACCTTCTCCTCCCTCCCCCCCACAAAATAGGCACCTAATCTAAGATGGAGTAGACATGTTGGATGGAGAGTGGTTTCTCTGACAGTGCATGGCTATTGACTGGGCTCAAGGGAAGCCATGAAGGTCCTGGGCAGGTTCATCGAGGTAGAACATTGTGCAGCAGGCATCAGCTGTTGTGGGGAAATCTATGCTCCATCTGACAAACCCAAATCTAGAACAGGGGTATGTTTGTTTTGGAAGTAGACTGATGAAATGGGTTGCTTGATTCTGGGGCTAGGTGTGATTTGGGAAGTCGTCTTCGATGCTTAACCTCACAGATCTACTGTTTGTTCAGTCGCCAGCAGCTCGGGATGAGAACCGAGAAGATAAAACCACCATAAAATGTGAGACTTCCCCTCCTTCCTCTCCCAGGACGCTGCGGCTGGAGAAGCTGGGTCATCCTGCACTCAGTCAGGAAGATGGAAAAAGGTATAGAGGTGGGAAGTAGATGGAGTGTGCCAGCTCCACTGTCTGGACCTGTGATGTGAACTAGTATAGCTGTGGAGGAGAATGTGTTGCTATGAACTGTAGAGAGCAGAGGACCAGGTTTTCTAAGGGATGAGTGGGGAGGGCTTAGCATGATCCCTGGAAGGCAACAGTGCCTTTCAGAGCAGTCACAGGACTGAAGAGATATCCATGGTCACAAACTCCAATCGCCTGCTATTGCAGTTGCCCCATCGTATCATCCCTTTCATGAAGTGACCAAGTTCTGTATTAAAATAAGCTGATTGTTTTTGCCCCCACCCTCCTTTGGCAGGCTGTTTCCAAAGCTCATTTCTCTGATGGTTAGAACCAGCTCCCAATTTCCAGTCCAGATTTATTCATAACCAGCTTTGTGCCCATTCATTCTCCGAGTGTTGCCCTTTACCTATCCTGCCTCATAATGCTACTCACCCTGACGTATTGCTAGACAGAAATCATGTTCCCTTTCAGCCTTTATTTTCTCAGCTAAGCAGATCAAACTCTTCATGGCCCCTCTCAGAAGCTAAGGGGTCTATTTCCCTAATTCTCCTCGTAGCCAGGATTTGTACATGCTCCAGTTTGAGTTCATCTTTCTTGAGCATGGATGGTCAGAATTTTCTACAGTACTTGGGGAAAGGTCATGGTATGAGGACACACGTTAAACACAGTTCCAAAGTCTGTAAACAAATGGGTTTGTGCCAGGGATGAGGCTGTGATGATGAGTAGCCCCATGGTTCCTGGGGTGGATGGCTGGGTCCCTATGTAGTCATTGCTGTGCTGGTGACTCAGGACTTTGCCTTCCAACCCAGCTAGAGATTCTGGTAGAGGTGCATGTCCAGTGGCAAGTCCCAGCCAGGGGGCTGCAGAGTGTGGAGAGCTGGGTCTTCAGCTCCTTTGCTTTGCTTCTAATCTTGGCTTCTCCAGGCCTCAGGTTAGCGGCAGCTGTTTGCTGTGTCTGTGCCTCACTTCTTTCTCACAGGCCGAGCCCCACAGTGACCCTATCCCTCAGCTGATAAGCTGTGTCAGAGTAGGCTTGGTAAAGCACTTCCATTGGGTAAACCTGGTAGTGAGATGAACAGTAAGGGCATCTTTGTTCTTATAACTGTGGGGGATGGCATAGGTACCAAGCAGTAGGTGAAAAAGTCCTAGTCTCCCTGGAAAAAGATTCTTGTGCCAAAATGCCCCTTATCTTCCCAGGGTGCCTAACTCTAGGTCTCTTGCAGCTCACAGTGGGCGTGTCTACGCATCATCGTACAGTGACATTAGTACTGCACCATGTTTTAGTACTTGCTTGGGGGAAGTATTAAAACATGGCTCACTAGCTGCCCGTACTGCGGCATATCAGTGGTTCATGGTTAGATTCACTGGCTACATCGCTGTAGTGGCATGCTATAGCCAGGCAGCGCAGTGACGTGACCAGCGATCGTGTGTAGACCAGCATGATCGCTGCGTTGCCATAGTGTGTCATATGCATCCAATGTGTACCCACTACCTCGGTGTCTTTGGCCAGCATTTCTTCTTCCCAATACTTCACAGTGGGGCTGATGTTGATCATCTTCAGGCATCTGGTGTCCCAGCCCAGGGATGACTGCATGATTCCTCTGTATGCAGTGTGGAGCACGTGGGTCACTTAGGGGCCGAAAGTGGCATATTCCCACACAAAAAGCTCACCAGTGCCTTGCAGGGCAGTCAGACTCTGGGAGACAGCCTTCTTGCAGCTTCTGTGTCTCCTGTGTGTGTCTGCTCCAAATCAGAAACCATCTGAAAGTTTTCCTCTCTCTCCACTAATTCCCTAGCTCTCTGGAGGACCAGACAAGCAACCCAAGCAGCAGTAACAGCAGCCAGGACTCTCTGCACAAAGGTTCTAAGAGAAAAGGGATCAAATCTTCCATTGGGCGCTTGTTTGGGAAGAAGGAAAAAGGACGTCTCATTCAGCTGAGCAGAGAAGGAGCCACTGGACATGGTCTCTGAGTTCCTCCATTTATTTATACAAAAGAGCAGTGGGGTTCTGGGGTGTGATTGAAATAGAGAGGTCCTGGGGACACCTCTTAGTTGGCATGTTTCTTGCTTAGGATTCAAGGTATGGCATGAAGGGAGGAGTTGGTTTCTGCCAGGCATGTAGGGTATTTATACACATACATTTTCATGCCCAGACACACCGAAGATCTGGTGCATCAGAGACTTGGTAGGCTCGATTAATCGAGTCTGCTCGGCACACAAGCTGATGTGTATGGCGCTGCATCGCTTGCAGTTGTATAAGTGGCGAAATGTGCATCAGTGCGGGAAAATGGCAGTAGTGCACTTTTGAACTAAAACACTTTCTATGTGTTTTAGTTCAGAAGCGCACCACTGCGATTTTCTGCATGCTGATGTGCATTTCACCACTTATACAACTGCAAGCGATGCAGCGCCATGCACATCAGCTTGCGTGTGGAGCACCAGGTGCTTTTCATGTAGTGCTTGCATGTGTAAAAATACCTAGAAAAAACAAGCTTTAGTCTCATCAGGTCTGTATTAAAAGATTAGACCTGCCCTGAAAAAGCATCCCATCTCAGAATCCCACTCCAGCAGCTGAGTTGCTGAGAGGCAATTAATGCCCTGGTTTTTGCCTCTCGGCCACTCAGGGTGGAATTAAAGGCACTGATGTATCGCAAACTTAGGTAGGTCCTGATTCATAACACTGTTCAGGGCCCACTGGGCTTTCACATTTATTAGAGCTGCCAAGGGGTGAGAGGGTTTTCCATCCCAGTAATGTTTCGCCATCTGTTGTAGTCTCCCTGAAGCATGGATTATGACCATAGGGACAGGAGCTAAGGACTGAAAGCAGTTTGTTGATGCCAGTCTAACCTTTGGGATGTTCTTGCCTGTTCCACAGTTCTGATGACTGATTCTGAGATTGGCCTACAAGACACCCTGGGGCTTGGTAAGCTGGGAGCTCAAGCAGAGAAGGACCGACGGATGAGGAAGAAGTAAGCCTGCCTGTTTGTCTATTCCTGTGTGAGTTGGTAAGGATGAGCCCCTCAGGGTGATAGCAGGCTTAGGGTAGCCTGGGGAAAGGATCTATGCATCCATCATTGTCCCTGAGTCCACTGCATGTCCCTCTCTCACCAGTTCCTGCTGAACTGGCACATCTGCTCACCTCTTACTTCCCAGAGCTATGTTTGCCTTCATTATTACTTTGCTGTGTGCAGTTTTTCACTCCCTATGGCTGCTGCTTATTTTCTGACTTTTTTCACTTCATGGCAGTCTTATTCCAGTGTATGTGCACCTCAGAGACAACTCTGTCATTAGCATCCTTTCCTTAGCCACACCAGGTTAACCCCCAGTATACACATCAGAGACTCTGAGGTGTGTATTTGTGGGGAACTTGGGATGCTTTCTTAACTCTAGGCTTAGCTGTCAGTGAATACCTCTTCTACTTCTTTCCCTCCCAGGCATGAACTCTTAGAAGAGGCTCGAAGAAAAGGTTTGCCTTTTGCTCACTGGGATGGCCCAACTGTTGTCTCATGGCTAGAGGTGAGCTTGTGGTTTGGTTAAACTGATACACCCAGGAAGTCATCACTCTGTCCCTCCCCTGCCATCCAAGTAAGAGAGAATGACCACACTGATGGAAAAGTATCCATGTAGTTGCTGACCTCTCTTTCAGTGGTCTCTCACCTCTACCACTTTGAACTGGGTATAACTTCATTACAGAATGTTTGTACTGCCTGGGAATGTGGGTTTAACTAGCTGGTTTGAAAAGATCAAACCAAACACGCTTTTCCCCGAAGCTATCAGACCCAGGACATTTTGCTGCAGCCCGTGTTAGTATGCAGGTGTCTGGTCAGAGATGGACGCATAAAAACACCTATTTTCTCCTGTACTGCCAGCTGTGGGTGGGGATGCCAGCCTGGTATGTTGCAGCCTGCAGAGCCAACGTGAAAAGTGGTGCCATCATGTCTGCCTTGTCCGATACCGAAATCCAGAGAGAAATTGGCATCAGCAATGCCCTACACCGGCTGAAATTGCGTTTGGCCATTCAAGAAATGGTGTCCCTAACGAGCCCTTCAGCTCCACCCACCTCGAGGACGGTAAATACTTATAGCCATTCCTGGTACTGCATAGAGTCTTGTGCACATTGTGTCAATACTTTTATCTGGAAAACAAGGTAGATTTGCACCTTATATACTAACTAAAATGTGCATGTGCATGCACTCATGCGCGTGTGCATGTATAGGAGGGAAGAGGGGGTGCACAAGCTTTCATGGGCTAAAGCTTACTTCATCATATGTTATATTTTTATGTGCCAGTAATGGAGACAATGAATTTGTGTTGTGTCCTCTATCTACCTATCAGAGATGACACAGGAACACAGTATACTGTTGGCCTCCATCAATGTTGAATTAACAACACTTCTTTGAAAAGAAGCAGGTTTTCATTCTACTTAAAGGAAGATTTTATCATAAAGCCAGCTGGGAAGAGAGTTTAGTTTTATCGTCTTGGGCTGTTGAGTAGAGATCCAGAAGAACTTTGCTCCAGCCTGAAATCATCCAACAATACTTGATAATGCTTTCACCAATCACCTCCTCCAAGCTAACATGGCTTGTGCTAATGCCCCTTTTAACTGGGCCTGCAGTCTGGATCTAATTCAGCCTCTGGAGTCTGATTCCCCTGTTGGTGAGCTACCTTCAGCCTGTGCGCACTTTCTCAGATAAGCTACTGTATCGTGTAGTACGTATAAAGCCGGAGGTTTCAGAGGAGACAAAGCAGCCCTCTGTTGTATCTGGCCAATTAAACAATATTTATTAACATGGCATTGCAGCCTAAGGATATATGTAATACATGTTTTATCCTAGATGGAGTAAATGCAGTTGCTGTTCTTGTTCACATAAATGTTGACTGCTTTTTAATCTTATCTAGCTCTATGTCTCACCAGTATTGTAGAACAATGGATTCCACAAATTGTACATGCATTGTGTAAAGTACTGCTATTATCCATTTTAAATTTCTTCTTGGCCTGGGGTAGCTGGGAGAACACTACCAGTTTTCTCAGCCACTGACTATTAGCATTCTGTACTGTCATAATGTCATATCTCAAACCAAAGTGAAGAGCCCTAGGTAAGGTTCAGGGCAGCTGAAAGTTTGTTTCACTAGACGAACCTGAGGAAACACCTAGTACCCTTTAGATAAAGAGGGCCAGACTCCAGTCTCACTGATTTTGGTGTAATTCAGAAGTGACTTCTTCTGGAAACCAGTGTTATATAGAAGAGGATCCAGCTGTGAAGTCTGTTTGTAAACCACTAAAACATGCAGTATATCTGTAGCTGAACTTGCTCTCATTAATAATTTTGACTTGGCAGTCATGCTTCAGTTACAAAATAACTTTGTCTGCCTTTATCCCATTGCCCTGTCTGACTTTTGTCCCCCTAGTCCTCTGGAAATGTCTGGGTCACACACGAAGAGATGGAGAACATGGCAACTTCCACAAAAACGGTTAGTGCCTTTTGTCTAGTGCCTCCTCCCATCTGAATGGCCTGTTCCTTGCTGAGCACAACCTTAGAAGTGTTTAGTGTTGCAATCTTCGTACTCAGGGCTCCATTGAATGAAAAAGGAGTACCTCATGCAGTCACTTCATGGAAAATAATTTGGAATTGTTTTGGAACTGTTAATAACTTGGCAGCGTCTATGCCTTTCTTTTTCTTTTTTCTTTTTTGTTTAAATAAGCAATGTAATCCTGTGGGTTTTGCTGAGAGTTCATGACAATGATCTCTGTGTGTTTCTAAAGCCCCTGCTACATGTTACATATATCACGCAATTAACTGGTTTATCGCACAATAATTTTTTTGTGCCACACACATGCAAAGTAATTCTCACAAAAATTAACTGGTTAATCACACAATACATTTAGACCAGCCACACTTGCAAAGTAATTATCACATGATAAAAATGCCTGTCTAGCTATAGAAGGAGCCAACCAGCTATAAAGTTAGTGCTTGAAAATGTGTAACGACTGTCTAGCTGGTTTCTATCCAGCTTTAATCTAAACATGTAGCAGGGCCCTAACAAAAATTACCCATTGCTTTCAAAACGGTGCAGAAAAATGACTTAGAATGTGAGATCCTGACCCTGCTGATGCTGCTGGAAAAATGTTTATTGACTTCAGTGGGGCCAGGGTTTTGCCCTGGTCTGTGATCAGTGAAAGACTTTACCATCTTCTGCCCATTTAGTGACCCTTATGCAAAATTGGTAAGGGATTTCAGTCTGTTTCTTACTGGCCATATGTTGGTATCACAGTGCTACAGCTCATTGTTACAACCACTATGAACATATGATCCAAAAGCTAAAGAGAAATGGGTGGAACTGGCATCGTGCATTGGCAGAATCCTGGGTGCCTCAAAGTCCATGACAAACCTCCCTTTGCATTCAGTAGGGTCAGAATATCACTCATGCAGTCTCTCTCGGGGAGAAACACACCCCTGAGCTGCATATCAGTGGTTGAACCTGTATCTCCCTCGCCTATTCCAACAGACATTGAGTCCCATTAGCACTTTTCATTTGACTGCGGTAGGTCACAGTTGAAATATGTACGTTCAGTTGTATTTGTTTGAAAAGTGTGATCTGTGGGTAGCAGTTACTGACTTGACTTGTTGTTTTTGTTGACATGCTACGTTTGTTACAATTAGGACACTGAGGAGGGCAGTTGGGCACAGGTGAGATTCCCATGTCATCTCTTTTCGTCTTTGTTAGGCTGGGGAGTTACTTATTAGTAGAGGCAGCACAACCCAGAGAATCAAATATGACCCTCTAACAAACTGAACTCCTTGGTGACACGGTGTGTGTCCAATCACATCACTCCATTTCCATGCAGGCCACTCCCTCGGACAATTATTCAGCATTTATCCCTGCCCTTATGAACAGTTATTCCCTTAAGCCCTGCCCCCAAAAGGACATCATTGGAAGGTCGGTGAAGGCAGCAGCAGAGACTCTCAAACCCTCACAAGGCAAGGAAACCCTTCTTTTTATTTTCCATTGTGCTTGAATTAATCCTCTTTTGTCTTGTCTTATTTTGGGGGTGAATTCATGATACCAGATCTTCTTCACTCACTTATCACCTATCTATGATATTTATTACACCATGCACTCCTGCCCTTAACTCTTGGATGGACTGGAATTCAATGCATCTTACTGTTGCTATTTAGATTTCTATGGAAGTAATAAAACACGATACTCCTGAACCTTTGTACAGTGGGGTAATGACATGCTAAGATTTCCCAATGCACTGTAGGTGACTTGGTCATTGACAATGACTGGAAGATACATTGATGTTGGCCCTGCATAGCTTTGGTAGATCTTTACCTTGTGTTCCTCTAAGAGGTGGTTTCCTGGGAACATTGCTGGTAGAAACACTTGCTGTTTATCATCTCTTTATGCACAGCATGTAAGGAGTCACTCATCATCATCCCTGGAAAAAGTGTGAAAACCTTATTAATAGTAGTGCTGAGTACCATATTTTCTGGCATACAACACACCCCAGAATATATCTTTTTGCACCTGGGCAAAAAGACCCACCAACACACTTGTAGGCAGAGGGATGACCTTCTCAGCAGCACAGCAGCAGAAAGGGATCTTGGAGTCATAGCTGACTCCAAGATGAACATGAGTCGTCAATGTGGCGAAGTGATCAACAAGGCTAACCGCACTTGATCATGCATTAGCAGATGCATGACTAATTCAGGGAGGTGATGCTTCCCCTCTATGTGGCACTGGTCAGGCAGCGGTTGGAGTACTGCATCCAGTTTTGGGTGCTGCACTTCAAGAGGGATGTGGAGAATCTTGAGAGGGTTCAGAGGAGGCCGCTTATATGGTCAGAGGCCTGCAGGCAAGGCCCCATGAGGAGAGACTGAGGGACCTAGATCTCTTCAGCCTTCACAAGAGAAGGCTGAGAGGTGATCTTGTGGCTGCCTATAAATTCATCAGGGGAGGGCAGCAGGGAATAGGAGATGTGCTATTTACTAGGGCACCCCCTGGAGTAACTAGGAACAATGGCCACAAATTGACGGAGAGCAGATTTAGGTTGGACACTAGAAGGAACTTCTTCACAGTAAGGGTTGCCAGAATCTGGAATGGGCTTCCAAGGGAGGTGGTGCTCTCTCCTACCTTGGGGGTCTTCAAGAGGAGACTGGACAAGCACCTAGCTGGGGTTGTCTGACCCAGCACTCTTTGATCCCAGAGCTCTTTCTTGCCCAGGGCAGGGGGTCAGACTTGATGACCTACTGAGGTCCCTTCAGACCCTAACATCTATGAATCTATAATACATACCTTGTTTTAGAAAAGCAGAATGAAGAAAAAAGATTTTTCCAGAGTTATGGCTGCATAGAACAAGGACAGAGCATAATCTGATGGTTTGCCCTCTTTTCCCTGCTTACACTGTGAAATAGCAGGAGAGATACCAGAAGCAGCAAGCAGACGAGCAATATTGTCCTAAGTAAGGTTAGCTTGATTAATAAAACATCAAGACCATTAAAAAGAAGAGATGGTTGTTAATACCATAGAGTGAAGAACAGTTAAGTCAGTTGACTCCCTCAGTTGCCTGAATAGTAATGCAACAGCTGCTGCACTGTGGAACAGGAATTAAAGTAGGGCACTTCTGTTCTGGTGAGAAAATCAGCTTACCAGTGTAATAGACACATCCCAATTTGGGGGGGGCTGGTTTGGAGGAGGGAAAGATGCATGTTGTATGCAAGAAAATATTATATGTTTAGCACTGTATCACTGGAAGAATTGGCTGACCTCATAATTACTTTGGGAGGTAGGGAAGTTTTATCATATCCATTTTGTAGGTGGGAAATGAAGAAGCAGATTGAAGCAAAGATGCTCCCAGGGCCTAACGATGAACACGTGGCTCTCACTCCTGTTAGGTACATCATGCTGCCCCAGATTGCAACCTCTCCTGAATTCCTAGTTCAGGAATATGTGAAACTGGGACAATATTTTTCACTAAGAGTGAAAGAAGTGGGGTTAACGGGGTTACAATGTCATAGGTCAAGGCCTACTCTCACGAATCCTGCTTCTTTGCAGATGTGAATAGTTTTCCTGCCAACAACACGTAAACCTGATTCTTTCCTGCACTGAACTTTGCACAAAGTGTGTTCAGATTTGTTATTCTTATTTGGTAGCGCTGTATCCCACTTCACACTGGGTTTAAATAACTGTGAAGGGGAACAGCAGCAGATTATCTAGTGCTTTGAATCTTTATCCAAGATTTATACATGCCTGTATTTCTGTGCTACTTGCAAATCTGTGGTTCAGTCCAGAGAAATACTAAGCACCATACAGCATCACAGACAATAGTGAGAGCCTTTGCAGCTGATCCATACTTTGCTGCATGCCCAGGACAATGTAATGGAAAGAAATTCCTTATGAGAAGAGCTACTTTGCTCTTCTCAGCAAGAGCTCTGCATGCTGCAGTGGCAGCAGTGTGATAATTACATTCAGAAGTATTTGTAACAGAATACATTGGTCCAGACTCTATTCCACCATTTGAGTGTCTCAGTGGATACATCTACATGTGCAATTAATGCACCTGAATTTTCTGCACAGAAAATTTAGGGGTGTTCAACTGTGCCCCTGCATGTATCTGAATGTGCTCCCATCGGAAGCAAAATTCCTCCCAGTGGGAGAAGTTCAGTCTAAGGCTGCTCCTGCCCCGCTCTGCCCCTCTGAAGCAGCCAGGGGGAGCTCCAAGCTCCCCTGGTGCCAGCTCCGGGCTGGCAGGGGGCACAGAGGCTGGTTCTAATCTCCATGTGGGTGTGAGCTGTCCCTGCTCTGGGCAGCTGCCTCTGTGCCCCATGGAGACTGGGACCCATTCCAAACTCCACATGGTTGGCAGAGCTGTCCTGGCTTCTGGGCAGCCAGGGCAGCTTTCCCAGCCATATGAAGATTGGGACAGGCACTGAGCCTCCCCACCCCTTGTGGCCCTGGCTGCCTACGCTGACTGGGAGCAATTAGTTTAATATGCTGATTTCTAATACCTATATCTATAGGTACTAAAAAATGGATCACTAGACTAATCTATTGTGCAGTAATTGCTGTGCACGTGTAGATGGTGATGCTTTACTGCACATTACATTAGTCTCGTGCAGTAAAGTGTTTCTTGTAGATGCATCCAGTGTGATCTTATTCCATCCTGATCAAGTCTCTGAAAAATCAGTTAAGGTAGGGAGGGCCTCCTTCTGATCACTGCTTTTTTCTGAGGCTGTCCTAAAATTAAGATGATGAAGTATTCCAAAAGTATTCCAAAAGTCAGTGTGTAGACCCCTTTTTAGGGTCAGTCTTTTGCAAGATAGAAAGGGATTATACTAGGAGCAGTTTTTTGCCCTGATTGAAATATTCAGCTATATGAGACTTTTCATCTAAGTATTTGAAAATGTTCCACAGGCATCAGTTCAAGACAGGAGTGTGTGAAAAATTTAAGGTTTCAAAACCGTTTTCCTCTTCAGAAAAAGAATCAAAGATTGAAATCTCAAAATTTTTCAAGAACTAAAAGTCACCGAAACGTTCACATTTGGTTGATCATTTTGTTTCGATGTTGACCTTTTTTCCTTTACACTTTTCTGTTGTAACCTTCAAAATGAAAAGTCATTTCATTGCCCAAAAAATGGAATTTTTTCATTTTGAAAATGTAAAAAACAGAAAGTTTTAGCAATTTCTATTTCCAGGGTTTTTTTTAATTGAGAAATTTATTGAAGCTAAATCTTTCTGGGAATCATTTCTACTTTGATGAATCAGCCTTTTCCAATTCCCAGGTACTCGGTGGGGTGTTCTGTTCCCATCTACTTTTGTCTGAGCCACTTAGGTTGGTAAACCATTGCTTATCACAGTGTTAGCTTACATACTACAGGCTTGTGCTTTAAGTTCCAGAAACTCCAAGTTTGCACCTTTGTTCAAATATTCCCCCAAGTATATGCAGTGTTATAATAATAGTAATATGTAACTTTTATACGGTGGGGCTCATCTGTACTTCACTAATCTGCAACTATCTGTACTCAGATAGAGAAGCACTGACACAAGTAATTTATTTATCAGAGCAATAACACTGTTGCATAAATATTTTCAAAAGCAAAGTTCCCAGTAAGACAGATTCAGCTGAAAATCAGCCGACCTTTTCTACATGTAAGAGATGAGAAAAACCTTGTACCAAAATGTATCAAAATGCCATCACTGGATGTCCTGAAAGCTTGTCTGCAGCACTGCTGAGTGCCAGCATCCATGCTTGTCTCTTTACTTTCACAGACACTAGCCTATGGGGACATGAACCATGAATGGATTGGGAATGAATGGCTGCCAAGTCTGGGTCTCCCTCAGTATCGCAGCTACTTCATGGAGTGTCTCGTTGATGCTCGAATGCTGGACCATCTGACCAAGAAAGATCTCAGAGTGCATCTAAAGATGGTTGACAGCTTCCATCGGTGAGCTGCCCTTCCTGCTACACCCTTTCCTGAGCAGGAAGGAAGAAGAGGGCCTGTTGCAACCATGAGAGTGAATGGAAGCTATAGGTCTTTGAGTATCAAGGGTTCCCAGCTGGGATTTTCCCCAGACTTTAGCTAAGCACCTCAACTGGTGAAGCTGAGCATCCTTAGACATCAACTTTGAAGAAAAGATTTTGCTGGCTGTGGAGCAAAGTGGATGATCTGGGATAATTTACAAAATTCTTCCTCATCAAATTGCAGTCAGTACAACTAAACCAGCAGTGTAACTGGGGGGTGAGCCTTTAGGCAGCCCCTTGGGCACTGCTTTTGTTGCGGGGGGCGAGGAGTGCAAAAATAGGTGCTACCGCAGAGAGGGCTCATCGCAGTTCTGTAATCAGCTGTCACTGCCCCAGCACAGAGCTGACCAGCTTTGCCTCTGAACTAAATGACTGGGGGAGGGGGGTGCTTTAGTTGACATTGGGACAAATATTTTGAACCACAAGCATAAAAGGCCTTCCCTACTTGTTTGCTTTCACCCTCTATTGTCTGTCAGGTAGAGCAGTCACAGAACAAGTCCCTGCATAAGCCACCTAATTTCTTTTACCTTGCTGCATGTTAATATGGATAAGAACGCTGGTGTCATAATCAGTATTGTTAGTGTGTCAGCTGTCGCTTGGCAATTCCTGGTAGACAGAGCAAAGTTTAGCTATAGTTTGCCATGAAGGTGGTAAGAAGGTTACTTCCTGAGATGTCTGGACCTTGAGAATAGGCTTTGTATGTGATAGTAAGTTGTTCCTAATGCAACTCTGTGCCCAGTACCCTGGCACCGGGTGAGGGTCATTCTCCAGGAGGCTGCTCATCTTGAGGGAAATCCCAAGACTGGGGGAATTCCTGCAGAAAGTGGGTACAGCCTGTTTGGAGCGGCTGGAGTCCCAGTTTCAGAAAAGCAACTGCTTCCAAGGAAACAGCTGCTGGCATCCATCCATCTCATCTAGCAGGCCACCATTTCAGGCTGGTTTCACTTTCCCCTTAATTCTGGAACCTACCCAGGTGCTCTTTTCAAGGGGAAGTTTCTGCACTTCTGATGAATGCGTGCTCCAGGGATTTTCCCCTTGGAGGTTGCTATTGTTCCTTTAGGTAGGGATCTTCCAGACCAATTCCATGAGGCAGAGAGGAGCTCTGAATATTTTAGCTCTTTGCATACATGTTGACCTTCCCTCCTCTCTTAGTCAGAACCTTTACAGAGATTCCTGTAAAGGATCTTGCTGGGATCCTTTGACCTGCACTGACTTCCTGCCCCTTGGGCAGGGGGCTGGACCTGATGATCTTATGAGGTCCCTTCCAGCCCTAATGTCTATGTAATCTATGAGTCGGGCAGCCTTCTGTAACTGGGGTTTGGATCTGTCTGATCCATATGTAATTTAGTTCTGTAGCTTGCAAGCTGAGGGGGCTATGTGACCTCCTGCTGGACAGGACTACAAAGGCAGTGGGGTCCCCAACCTCTAGCTTTTGGGAAGTGATCACCCCACTCCTATCTGATCACTCAAGGCCTCTCATTCCCAGTGGCCAGTTCCTGATGTCCTTCCTGGCTTAACAGTCAGACAGGGTAGGCCAGTGGGTTAATGACCAGCATATGCTAAGGAATGTGGCCTGTTTCCTTTACAAGGTCACCAGTGGAATAAAGTCTCTGTTCAGAGCAGGGAAGGCTGTGTTCTCCTGCAGCTGTTCTTTCAATTCAGGAGGCCAGGAATTCTCCCTGAGGGAAGCAGGGGAATTCGCAGCCTCTTAACACACAACGGCTTCCCAGATCCATCCTTTTCCATAGCCTCCCTGGCCTTGTGATCCACATATCGCTCTTTCTCTGGATCTGCAGCTTCTGGACCTTTCTGGGGTTTTCCTTGCCAACCACAAGCCCCAGGAATGTCACTAGTCACTCACAGTCACGGGCAGGGCACATTGCTGGGGAGTGGAGAAGAGCACCAGGTCCAAAGGCATCCCTTCCTCCCACCTGAGCATAAATGGTTGCTTGGGGGTTGTGACCTGCACGTGGACCATCGTGGCAGAAGCTTAACTGCTAGTGTGTGGGTGGGATGAAGGGTATTGCCCCCCACGCACGTCCTGCATAGGGGGCTTTTGCAGAGCAGTCATGAACCCTGTGGAGTGGACAGGGAACACATGTTCACACAGTAGACGATGATGCAAGCTTTACATGTGGATGGAGAGACTGTATAGCCCTCTGTGAAGGTGCGTCTCAGCTGGCAGCTCCTGGATGTGCTGGGGGTTCCAGGTTGCAGTTTTACTCTTAAAGTTCAAATTCTGCCTAGGGCAGGGGTGGTCAGACCCTGGCCTTCAGGCCAAATCTGCCCCCTGTGCCATGTCATTTGCCCTGTGGAACTGTCTGTGGGTCCCTAGGGAGTCCTGCACATGGGGCCTGATCCCAGGCAGAGGCAGTGCAGGCCCCCTGGAGCCTGATCCTCATGCGTGGGACTGGGTGGAGGCAGTGCAGGGCCCTGGAGCCCAGTCCTGGTGTGCAGGGTCCAGTCTGGCCCAGAGAGCAGCCCTACACCCCTCATCTGGCCCACTAGGCCAAATGGTTGAGTGCCCTTTTCCTAGGCGTTCAGTTCTAGAACGCCTTGACTTAGACCTGTGCAGGAGAGGCTGGATTTTCCCCTGCCTGCCAACAATAGAGGGATTTATTGCCTACAGTCCCACCCCAGCCTCTTTTGGAGGAACAAGATCTTCTCACTCCTTGGAAGTGGGGTGAAGTACAAAGATTTCACCTGCCACCTGGGCTTGGCACAGGTATCAGGAGAAATCTCAAAACTCTGGGGTATTTCTGGAAGCTGCACTACAGCAAGCAGCCATGAAGCTCTATTCCATAGAGAAAGTCTGAGCTATGAGAGGAATGCGGGTTGGTGAGTCTGGAGCCAAGCTCTTTCATACAGATACTACAGAACTGGTGGCGGTGAGATGCCCACTGTAGATGATTGTGGGAGAGATTACAGGGATGTATGGGACAGACATTTGCAGGGAACCCCTAGTGTTCATCCTCCAGAGAGCAAAGGATTCTTGCAATGAGCTTCTGAAGGGTTAGACTCAGTTCTGATGTTTTTGGCCTTTTCTATGCTGGGTCAAGAATACATCCCTTGGGGTTTTTCTAGTAATAAGATTCAAACCTATTATCCTGGCGCATCCCACAGCTGGTTTGTGAACCCAGCTGAGAAATAAAATCCTGGTGTTGCTTTCCAAGCATTAAGCAATGTGTTCTGTTCTCTAGTACTAGCCTGCAGTATGGCATCATGTGCCTGAAGAGGTTAAACTACGACCGCAAGGACCTTGAACGGAGGCGAGAGGATAGCCAACATGAAATCAAAGGTCAGTCACAAGCTAAAAGATCTTTCTGGTGTCTGATGGAAAACAACACCAGGCGCAACCTGCGTAATGTGCTCATTTTCCTATCTTCCTTCCCTCAGTTTTAAATGCAGAGGTTGTCATGGAAAAGTCAACATTCCCCTAATAATGTCAAACAATTACAAATTGTTATACAAGGGCTTTTCTACTCAGGAAATTAGTTTCTAGTAGCTATTCTACAACAGCTCACTATGTGGACTTTCTTATCCCACATTAAGAGAGTCCTTGGGCGTGTCTATACATCACCCTATACCGCCATAGCAATGCGCTATGTCACTGTAGTGTGTTGCTACAGCAATGTGGGGTGATGCGGGTCTACACGTGACTGGCAGCTACTTCACCATAGTGGCGCGCTCCCCTGTTTTAGCTCACTGCTATGGCGAAGTAGCAGTGAAAACTAACGGTACACTGCGCGCATGGTGCAGTACAGGTAGTTATTGCACCATGCTTTAGTACTTGCAAAAGTATTGCACCATGCTTTAGTACTTCCAGAAGGAAGTACTAAAGCACAGCACAGTAACAGCATCACCGTAGGGTGATGTGTAGACGCACCCTTTGTGCTGTTCAGCTTAGTCCACTTCGCACAAAAAAATCTTTGTATGGAAAAGGGTGGCTACATGAGGAGTTAGTACAAAAGAGCTATTGCCTTTAAACTTATTCCTTATTTCACAGTAGTTTAGCTGTGTATACAAGCCATAAATAGAGAGGAAATTGGCATCTCTGTGGAAGCTCTTTGCAAATGGAGACTACTCCCTACTGAGCCTTCACTTAGAAGTAGATTGATTTTTAATTGGCTCTTCCTCCTCCTCCTCTGAGGTCCTGATCCTGTTTTGTCAGAGCATGAGCTGTGCATGTACCTTGAATTGTTCAGGTAGGAGATAAGTGGCAAGGCCAGAGTTATGTTACCAGCATGACAAGTTAAGTAGACTGTTGCAAACAAAGGTTTCAGTCCTGCCCTAACTAAAATCAATGGTAGTTTTGGATTCCTTGACTTCAGTAGGGTGAGGGCATCAGGATTTACCGTGAGAACTTGGCTTCTGAAGTAGAGCTATTCCTAAACAGATTGGGGGTTCCAGCTCCCCAGTTAGATGCACCTTTGTAAGAAGCTGGCAGTTCCTCATTTTGGCCAGCCTCTTCTCCTTAATTCAGTGCTGAAGGCACCAATACTGTTCTTCATTTCAGCTTTCATCTTGCTCCCTTCGTAGACTATCCACCATCACTGCCAGAGTCTTGAGGCTAGAATAGTTATAAGGTCACTAGATCATGAGAAGAAAATGTCAAATGTTAATATTAGAAAGAGAGAAACTGGGCTTGTCACTCTGTATCTGCCAACAGTGTCCCCATCAGCTTGCGATGTAAGAACCCAAATGCATAGAGCAGCCTGGTCGTTTCCTCTATCAGATATGCCCGTGAAAGGGAAAAGCGTAGTTGAACATGCGAGGTGCCAGCTCATGCAGCAGCGATGCACAGTCAGATTGGCTCCTTCAGGGGGCAGCAGGGTACTCATGGAAGAGTGACGCTCCATGGGCATACCTCACCCTGCCCTGCTTTAATAATCCTATGATGGCATTAGTGTTCATTGCTTATCTTAGCTCATTTATCCTATATAATGAGAGCAGGGAGAGTTTTAGGTTTAATTCACATAGAAATTTTCTTCCTATGAGTATTTTTTTCTTTTCAATAAACCAAAATGAAAATATGTTTACTACTACTGCTGGTCAAAGGGGAGAAGGGAGTGTCCCTGAGGCCAGTCCTAGCAATAGCCCTTAATTTGGTCTCAGGAGACAAGTGATTAAATAAACTGTGAGAAGTTATTATATAGGCAACACACTCTGCTCTGTCATGATATCATCCCAACATGGGCCAGTCCATATTCAGGGATTAGCAGAGCTCACAAGGAACTTGAAAACCAATGTAAACCAAGGTTTCATGTGTGCTGAATGTATGACCCCATTGTCTTCCAGATGTATTGGTCTGGACCAATGACCAGGTCATTCATTGGATTCAGTCCATCGGGCTTAGGGAGTATGCTAATAACCTCATCGAGAGTGGAGTACATGGAGCACTCCTAGCTTTGGATGAAAATTTTGACCATAATAGTCTGGCACTTGTATTACAAATACCCACTCAGAACACCCAGGTAAGGGGAACATTTCCACTGAGGGCTTTCAGGGAGATTATTGCATATTACCAGTCTGTCTGTCTCTATCTTGTCCTCAATTTAAGTATATCTAAAGCATTCACTATATTGGCATTTAAGTGCTGTTGCTCAGTCTCTGGGATTTCAGAGAACTTGAAGAGGGATTCATCCAAGAAATATTGATTTGAAGATGCAATTGCACTTACTTGACTCTGCCTCTTCTACTGATGATGGAGAACTTGACTTTAGCTGTTGCCTCTGTCTGTATTGTTCACATAGTTTCAAGATTCTTTGCAGTGTAGCAAGATATTTCCAGCCTGCTTCAACTGCATGTGTTGCATGGTAGCATTTTAGCTGTCAGAGACTTGCGCTTTCCTCCCAGTGGTAGCACTAGAAGTAAGACATTTCTGTCTCTCCTAGTGCAGTATAATTTTGTGTTAAATCCATCCTCCTTTACAGGTGGTTACTGTTACTCACAATATTATTTTTAGGCTCGACAGGTGTTGGAGAGAGAATTCAACAATCTGCTTGCCTTGGGCACCGATAGAAGGCTAGATGATGTGAGTACAAAGTACTGTTCTGTGACTGAATCATTATGGGTATTGGACAAGATTTTATTACATGAGAGAGAAAGCAAAACAACGTTTAGACAGGTGGAGGGGGATATGCAGCAGGGCTAGCCTCGCAATAATTGATCTTGTCACCTACAGAAAAGGACTACACTGCTCAGAAGTGCTTGCCCTGCTTTAACCGTCTTGGATAAAATCCATAGGAATGATAGATATACTGAGCCATGGGGATTCAGGATTGCAACCAGTACCTTTAGGCAAGAGGAAAAAGAGAACACTTTCTAGCATTTCATTATTTCTGTGGGAGCAAAAACCTGTGTCAGCAGCACTCTGCTTTGCTTTTTCACTTAATTAAAGAGAAGGGGCTCACCACACAGTAAGTTTACAGATAGTGATACCAGCTCCCTGGGGAGGTGATGGGAACAATATCACTTGAATAATTTATCAGTGTACTAGAAAAGCCCTGAGGAACATGCTGTTGAGCATAATCATGCAGTAGGGAATACAGTAGATGGAATCTAATGCATCTTTTCTGTCTTCATTTTCTGTGGGCTGACCTACAAGGTGCCATGTGGTTTACATTGCCTCTGCTAATTCCCCCCTGATTGCAGAAAATTAATACCATCTTTAAGGGAAACACAGGCTGGACGCACAGTCCATCTAAAGCTGGTACAACATGGAATGTTTTGGGTGGGGAGGGTTGAGGAGCCAGCTAGAAAAGGGCTTGGGCCTGCTGTGTTTGACACCCTTGCAGAGCTGTAACTTGAATGGGTTTTCAGGCTGAGTTTACTCCCTCACTTGACTCCTTCACTTGTAACTTTGTCAGTGTCACAGTTAATGTCCTGTGATGTGTGTATCAATAAATTCAAAACCTGTGTTAAAAGAATGTGCAGGGTCCCTAAATAGCCTACACCAGGCAATGTTTCTGAAGATCTCTAATGTACAGGACTCAGACTGACCAAAGTGTGTTCCTATTTGTTGGGGGGTAGTGAAGAACACCATGCTGGGGATTTTATTTCCGTTGCTTGCCTGCAGCTGACAGTGGTGATTGCTGTGCTCAAGCACAACTAACCAGTGCTCCAGCCCACACTCTGCGTTCAGAGCTCATAATGTCAAGCTATTGAAGCAGGTAGCAGGTGACAGGTGACTGTCGGCCTTGGAGCATATCAGACACTACCTCCACTCTGTTACTTGTTCTCTAAGGTTGGATTTAGGATAAGACCAATAATACTAAGCATTTGCTCAGTGTGTTAGATATTCAGAGGACAGTTTAGGGGATAGGCTTGGGCCCTCCGTACAAAGTGACCTCATGGATTATCATTGTCATGAATTATGCATATGGCATTAGCTCCCAAGAGCCCCAGCCACGGATTGGAAACCCATTTCACTAGGTGTTGTACAAACATCAAACAAAAAGATGATCCTTGCCTGAAGACACCTTCACAGTGCTTCATAGGGGCAGCTGTACATATGTATGTGCCCTTTGAAATGTTTGAAAAGTGGCAGAAGCATCCCAAAATAGTGCTGCTTGAACCAAGGTACTATTTTGAACTCTTGCCCAGACTAGGTAACTTGGTTGAGACAGAACTAAAGGGAATGGCAGGCAGTCCTGGCTAGACCCTCTCATTCATGACATTTACAGCATAGCATCAGGCTGAAGCCATTGGTCTGTGCTAGACAAATTTTTAGTGTGTCATGTGTGCCATAATGTGAGAGCAAATCAAGAGTGTCTTTGGATTAATTCCACAAGTAAATGGACACATCTACATATGCATTTGATTCGGGATCAGTTTAGTCATAAGTAAACTACTTGCGAGTAAATGCTCTCAGGCAGGCATCTACACAGGCAGGGAAGTGGGAGCAGATTTGCTGCTAATGGCAGCAAACTGCTTCCTGGGGCCCTGCAATGGGTCCTTGCCACCAACAATGGGAGCTGTATGCAAGCTGGACAGTTGTCTCCTGGCCGGGGCTGGAACTTACACCCTGCCCCTGGGGGCTGCTTGCTGCCAGGGTGGAGACAATGTCCCCTTGCCCCTGGAGGGAGATCAGGGACAGGGGACTTGGGAAGAGCTGCAGGGGAGGGGCAGGTCCCAGCCCCCTGCTCTTATGCTCTGGTGGGCTAGGTAGTTTGATGCTAGCTGCTCCTCCAGCAGATCGGGGCAGGGAGTTAGCACCTTACCCATCCCTGCAGCTCTTTCTAAGCCCCGTGCCTTGATCGTCTGATCAGAGCACAGGGCTGGAACCTGCCCATGACCAAGACAGCTCCCAGCTCCCGCCCTGCACATGGAGCGGAGGAGGAAACAGGTTTCCCAGCCCCCTGCCAGCTGGGAGCTCCTAGCACCAGCTCCACACCATGGAGCCAACCATGAACGGCGTGTGCCCCTGGCAGCTGGGGGGGCACAGCTGCGCTGGCGGGAGCGCAGTGGTGGCGGGAGCCCAATGGCAGTGAGCGGGGAGTTCCCACAGATGCCGCTGGCACTGTCGGTTGCAGGGGGGTGGCAAGCGCCGACTACGAGTCAGCAACTACCCACAGGCACTGCCTGCAGCAGCAGTCAGGGGCGATCAGGGACCGCCTGCAGGGGGTGCACCACCACGCACAAGGGGTGCACATGCACCCCCTATGTGTCTCCCCTGGGGCTGGCACTGGGAGACCCTTATCTCTGACTGCTGCCCCCGCAGTTGCGGAGCTGGCACTGGGAGATAAGAGTCTCTCAGTGCCAGCCCTGTGGCTGCGGAGCTGGTGCCGGAAGATAAGGATCTCCCAACCCCCTGCTCCCTGATCTTGATGGCAAGGCAGGGGCCGAGAAATAAGGATCTCCCAGCCCCTGCTTCCTAATCATGATTTCAGAATAGGGGGACTCGGAGCTCCCTGCTGCTGGGGTAGGTGGACATAGTCCCTGCGTGGGCTGCAGGGGCAGAGCCCACCCCAGCAGTAGATAGCTCCCAGGGGAGGGAGCAGTCTCCCGCTCCTTGATGGATAGCTGACTGGAAGCAGATTTATTCCCAATCAGGTGTCTACATGAGCACTGCTGTGCCATTACTAGTTGAAAGTAAATTTGTTACTTATATTTGCAGGTAGCAAATGTATTTGCAACTAGCAGTTTACTGCATAGTAAGCTTGTGCACATGTAGACGCACATGCTTACTGCACAGTAAAATACATTACTGTGCAGTTAAGCATCTCATGTAGATGTGTCAGTGTGTCTAAAGTAATGAAATTACAGTGTGCAAGAAAGTAATTTTATTTTGATTCCTGGTGCAAATTTAGATACCACAATATGCAGTTTGAAATGCAGCTGTATTAGATCAGGTAGTTTGTAGGTTGGGTGCCCCATGCTTCTATTCTCCTCTCCCAGTTTGGCTCTCCAGGTGGCTTATATCTCCTGCACTGACACATTCCCTCTACTTGGTAAGGAAAGATGGCTGCCTCAGAAGTCCCTGTTTGTGGTGCATCATGGGAGATATAGTCCACAGGAGAGCCCAGACCAAAGATAAGAATGGAGATACTTGGCAACAGAACTACAAGTCTTATGAGACCTTCCAAATCCAAATTAGTTTTGGTGGCTGCCACTAATAGCCACACACATTATGCTTTCAGTTAGGTCTTTTCAACGCTCAAAAATTGGCCAGAGATGCCAGATTAGTATATTCTAGTGCAGCATGATTTTATTGCATAATTATCATCCTGACATGGAAGTGTAAATTCAGCCAAACCAAATTAATACTACTCTTATTCTGAATGGGAATGTCCACACAGGACTTTAATCCAGTTGTATTGATCCAATTTAAATTCATGTCTTTAGTTATTCTGGATTCATTTCCACATGTGAACAAGCCTTTGGTTAAACAGGAATTGTGGCTTTGCCACTTTGGTGTGGAATATAACACCACCCATCCACTTTGTCACTAGTGGGAATGGCAGAGGTGCTGGTTTAGCTCCTGGAGGGGTGGGGGCAGGAGTGCACTGGGTAAAAGTGATGGGAAAGGGTCTGTAGTGCCAGAGGGTGCGAAGGTCTCCTAGAGAGGTTGTAAAAAGAGAGGAGGGTGCTGCTGATGGAATAGCAGAGTTCGCTCCTGACCTTCATCTCCAAGCTGCCACTTCCTATTCCTTGTGTGTTGCACTAGAATGTGGACATGGGGAGTGCCCATCTCTACGATACAGGGGTGTCAGGGTCCCACCACCCGACTTCTCAGACATGTCTGAGCTTCCCCAGTCCATGCTGCAGATATATCTGAGACCTGTTCCCTGTATCACAAATGTATCTGCTGCAGGTGTACCTAAGCCTCACCACCCACCTATGATGCCAGAGTGCCTGAGCTCCCACCTGTCTGCTGCAGGCATGTCTGAGCCCTACTACTATGTTGCTGGAATGTGCCAGTCATTTGGACTGGATCTACATCTCCAATGGTGCATGGCAAGTCAGGCTGCACACGGCATAACCAGCCATTCCCTTTCAGGGTGACGACAAGGACTTCCGGCGAACTCCATCCTGGAGAAAGCGGTTCCGCCCTCGCGACATTCACAGCATCAACATGCTCAGTGGGTCGACTGAGACATTGCCTGCTGGATTCCGAGTAACCAGCTTGGTGCCACTGCCGCCGCCTCCTGTCCCACCGAAGAAAATGCCGCCAGAAGGTAAGACCTGTGGCGCACTGTGGAATCATTTCCAGGGCAGACATTCTGCATCCGGACATCTCACCTGTTATAACACCTATAATTTGGGTAGTATCCTCTCAGTGTGCCACTTGCAAGTGCACTGCTCAGGCACTCCTTCTCTGTGTGGGAAGAAGGGAGGTCTGCACAGCCTAGACCAAGTTATTTTCAAATGGTTTTGGAGTCTACCTGCAGGGAACATTTGCTCTATACCTAACAGTTTGTTCCTCAAATCTCTTCTTGCTCTGGGCCACCATTCTCTGATTCCCCCAGAGGCAGGCAAAGTAGGACAGGTTTCCTTTGTTCTAGTTTTTGAAAAGCTCACAAGATCAAACACAATAGAGGCCCTTTGTTCTACTGGCCAAGGAAAGATGATTTCAACAAGAAAGGGAGGAGGCTGGACTGCACCTTTGTGGAGTGGGAAGCAAGGGACTTCACCTGCATGGAAGTGTCTCACCACCCCATAGTAGGTGCCAAGAAGCCCTGTGTATCCTACATCAGCACAAAAAGCTAAATGGCCAGGACAGGAACTGCAGTGTAGGCCAGGAGGGATGGTGCCAGAGATTATCCAGTATGAAAGCCATGCTTCAAATCATAGAAACATGGAGAAGGGAACTGGTCTAATTCGGGAGATTGTCCTAAGGTCCAAACATACATTTTGGCTGCTTTAAAAGGGAAGGGGGCTGGTGCTGCTTTGGAGTATGCAGCATCGTTTCATCTGCATGATACTATAGCAATTCCTGGTGAACTAAATTGCCCTAACTTTAATCTGGATGAAGCAGGGCTAAAACTGGAGTAGTTTTGCTTCACAATCAAAGGTAACAGCTGCAGTGTAACAGTTTGAATCAGTATGGCATTATGCAATTCTCCTAATCACTAAAGCAAAGTGCATGGCCAGCATTGGAAACTAGGGCTCCTTCCCTAAGTCACAAAGGCAAACACTGTCTTTCTTGTTCTTCTAGTTCTATGAATCTTTCCTTCTTGTCTATCCAGGGGTCTGGCTTCAGTAGGAGGATGTTCTCAACCCTGCCTAGCCTGGGCATTGATCTGTAACATGAGAAATCAGGGATCAGACCTGCTCAGGAAGAAGTGTAACCTAGGTGAATGCTTTAACCACTAGAGCAGGGTCAGTCAGTCACTGGTTGTGATTTTTGCTTAGATGCAGTTAGGCAGCATTTTGCACCTTCCTGGTGAAAGTGAATTGGGACTGAGAACAAATGGGGTTGCCGCCTCTGGGATTGTATCATCTCACTTCCAAGCATGCACTGTAATCACGGCAAGGTAAACATGTAGACCTGTAAGAAATGTGGACATCTTGAGCTCAATTCAGGCCTTTTCACTGGGCAAAGGGGAATGTTTCATGAGTTAGATGCCAGAAACCTGCATAAGTGCCACTCAGACTTCTTAGTAGTAAAGCAGAATTTTACATTTATACAGGGGAAAAAAACCTGAATCTGAGACTTTTTGTTAATCCTTGAGCTGGGGCTTTCATAAAAGCCCCAAGTACTGTGAGACTAAACATAAAGTCATGAGAGTTGGCAACATTGGGATGCACACTACTGGGTGTTTAATGTCTAAGAGTGTGAAGAAACTTTTCTAGGAAGGAGTACTAAACTGCTTCAGCAAATTGGGCCAGACTGTGTCAGGACCTACACCAGCCTGTACAAATTGACAGGAAATTTGAGGTGATTTAACATGCATCTTCTAATCTGCTTGGGTGAGGCTAAATTTGTGTAACTCACATCTTTGTATGACAATTATGCCTGGACCCTGTTTAACAGCACCAGATGCTAATTGTGTATTGACTAAAATAGTGCAATTTTTCAAACCCAAACCACTAAATCCTGTAACAACAGTCCAGACAGAGCCATCTCAATGGGCAGCTGAATACTAATTCCAAACTAGATGTGGGCACCACAGTGTCTCTAATTGCATGCTCTGCTGTGTTTTGCTCTGACTCGCTTGCAGTTGGTTCATCTGGGTCGCAAAGATTGGAGACCTCTACAGTTCGAACGTACTCCTGCTGAGGGTCAGTCTCTAGTGGGAATCAGCCCAGACCTTGGGTAAGTTTCAGAAAGATCTGTCATCTCAAATAAATATATGTGATGGGGAAACCGAGGTCCAGAGTTCAGACAGGGACAAGATCAAATTCAGAGCCCAATTAGTGGATATGTGGCATAGGTTACGTACACAGTTTTTGTAACTACCTGTTACAATCAGCACAGGTTTTATTCTCTGAGGACTGGGTTGGAGGAGGGGAGTTCTGTGGGGGTTGATGAAGCACACTGGTAGTACCCAACTATTTACCCAAGACTTACTCCCCACACCATCATTCTGTCTCACTATTTTATATTTTACTAGTTACATGGCTACCCAATCATATACCCCTACATCATATCAATTCTGCTTAGTTACAGGGCTAGCCAGTCATACAGCAACATAACCAGGCTCTGTTCCTGCATTCATAGAATCAGAGAGAAATAGGGCTGAAGGGACCTCAGGAGGTCATCTACACCAACCCCCTGCTCAAGGTAGGAGCATCCTGTCTAAACTGTCTAAACAAATATTTGTCCAGCCTGCAGGTAAAAACTTTCAGTGATGAGATTACACAACCTTTCTAGATAAACTCTTCCAGCATTTGACCACCCTCATAGTTAAAAGCTCTTCTGCATATCTAACCTATGTCTTCTTTGTTCCAATTTAATCCCTTTACTTCTTGCTCTGTCCCCTGTGGAGAGAGGACAGTTGATTGACATCCTCTTTATATTGTATTTGAAAACTTCTCAAATGCCTCCTCAGTATTCCTCCTTTAAATAATCCCAGTTTTTCCAGGATTTCTTCATATCACATGTTTTCTAGACCTCATTTCACTTTGTTGCTGCCTTATGGACTCTCACTAATGAGTTCATATTTTTCTTGAAGTGCATTGCCTAAAACTAGATGCAGTATAGCACTTCAGGCAAGACCTTACCAGGGCTAAATAGAATGGAAGAATAATTTTCCATGACTCATAGGTGACTTTTTAATTACTTTTCAGTAATCTATTAGTTTTTTTTATGACAGTATTACAGTGGGGACTCATATTTAGCTTCTGATCCTTTTCTTCAGTACTGTAGCCTGGCCAGTCATTCCACATTTTGTGTTTTGTGCATTTGATTGTTCCATCCAAAATGCACTATGTCGCACTTGTCCTCATTGAATTTCATCTCATGCATTTTTTGAGTATTTTTGCAATTTATTTAAGTCATTTTTTAATCTTAATTCTGTCTTTCAAAGTGTCTCCTACCCTTCCCAGACTGGAGTCATTGGCAAATTGCAATTCCATCCTACAACTCATTTCCAAAAGTCTTAAACAGTACCAGCCAGATCCAGAATAGATCCCTTAGGAACTCCACTTGATACCTCCTCCCAGTTGCACACTGAGCCATGGATGACTACTCTTTGAACACAATTATCCAACCAGTTATTCACACACCTTATAATATTTGTACATTGACTACGTATTTCCTTAACTTGCCTATGAGAAAGTTATGGGAGATAGCATGAAAAACCTTGCTGAAGTCAAGGTATATTACATCCACTTCTTTCCCCCATCCACAAAGCCCATCACATGGCCATAAAAGAAAATCAGGTTAAGTATGATTTGCTTTTGACAAGTCCATATTAGCTGTTCTAGATCACCTTGTTATTCTTTATGGGTAGAATTCTAGTTCTCTTTGTGCATCTAAATGGCAGCTTTCCAGCTGTGTAAATGGAAATTTTGGTGCTTATGCACAGGAAACAATTCTGTTCCCCTGCAGTATGGACACATCAGCATGGACAGTAGCCTGTGCATGGGTTGGGTGCATCCATAGCTATAGAAGCACACACAGAAACCTATGACTTGGTCTTCCTCTTACTTCTAACATACTTAAGAGTGCCTTTTTGTTGTTTTTTATGCTCCCTGTTAGCTGTATCACAGTTTGTGTCTTTGCCTTTCTGATTTTGTCCTGATCTGTCTGTATTATACTCTTATACTTCATAGTCAGGTTTCCACTTCCTGTGAGATTCCTTTATAAGTTTCAAGTCATTGAAGGGTTTGCTGTTTAACCAAGCCAGTCTTTTGCTATTCTTACTTTCCTTCCTTCACACTGGGACCACATGTTCTTGTACTTCTTTAAAGTACAACCAGCTCTCCTGGACTCCTTTTTCACTTAGACTTAAGCATTTTCACCAGTTCCCTTGAGTTTGTTAAAGTCTGGTTTTGTGAAGTCCAGAGTTGTTATTTGGCTTTTCTCCTTTCTTTTGCATCAAAACGGTTGTGTTTGAAACAACTACAAAGTGAGGTAAACTACTAAACAACACAATTTTTAATAGGATTGTGAGCAGAAAGTTTGACAGCGCATCATTGTAGGCAGGCATAGAGCCTATATACAGACAGACAAAACCACCACCAGATTATCTGATAACAGGCGCCTTTGGGTGACCTGACAACAGATCAAGGTAAAGTGGCTGAACTTTCAATAATCTACAGCCGGGTCTTGTAGATAGACTTAAGGAAAACATATAACCCAATGCAGCGTTGCACGGCTGGATTCCCCTAGTATTATTCCTCTGCCTTCATTTTCGCAGAACCAGCTCTCACTGATTTTTCAAAGCTGATGAGAACTTTAGTATCTTGGCAGGGTTTTTTAGTTTCCTTGGTTTCTTAAAGCATCTAGTTTGCTTAGTTTCTTTGTTGCTTTTTATAAGCTGCCCTGAGCCTTTGCTGAAATAAAAACCAAGTTAAATTAATAAATCACTCAATAAATAAATAAATAACAAAGGGTTGCCTTTGGTAGTTCAGAAGCAAATGACTTCTTCTCCTTTCCTTATTCAAGGAGTCCAGTTGTGGATCAGGCCCAGTACAAATAAATAATTCAAGCCCATCCCTGTCCCTGAGTGCCCATAGCCTGGTATTTGGACAGCATGCCAAAGGAGTAACATGACAACAGGGGGATGCGGTAACTGTAGAGATGGTTGCATTCATGCCAGCTGCCATGGTTATAATGGGATGCTGCTTTCTCAGCATTTCATTCTAACTAAGCATTCTCATCCTATCCCTTCCACCCCCCTCCCATGGAGAGGCGCAATGTCAGAGGCAGCCCAGAAATACGAGCAGAGAGGATCCACAGTCAGAGGAGGGAAGGTGTTAAATAATCTGCTGTGACAAATCATTTGTGGGTGCAAATCAGCTCCACTGAAGTCCATGTTCTGGGTCTGGGGGAGCAGTCAGCAGAGGCCCCATCCCATCCTTATTTCCAGGAGTATTTTACATCTAGAAACTGGCATCACAGAGCATGTATTTTAGTGAGGAATCTAGAGTATGTTGCTTTTCCTCCCTGCACAGGTTATTGATATCCACCCCCTCAGAGCAGATACCTTAGTTAATATCTCTCATATCTGTATCACGCTTAGCTGTGCAAGGTACTAACCTTTACTAATGAATGTGTAACACTTCCCTGTGAGCCTGAATAAAGAGGGGCACTGCAATGGGAAATAGAGGAGGAGCACAGGGGGTTGCCGAATGGGGAGTGGGGGCAGATGGGGTCAGTGTTTCTGACATGAGCCCATGGAGGGCAGAGAGATGCCCATGTGTTATTCAGACTGAGCCTGAAATGATGATGCTCACTGTGGAGCTTTGAGCACTGCCATGATGCAGAAGGCTGTGGAGGGCAGCTCGGAGGCCTGAACCTGGCCCAGCACTAGGCCTAGCTCAGCTTAATGGGCCTCCTTGCCGTGTCTGCCTCCGGAGTAGTTGTAACCAGCCCTGGTAGATCACACCCCATTCCCATTTGTTCCCTAGCTTCTGTTTCCCTAGGAAATGGGGCCAGGCCACAGTCTTGCTGGGTTGCTCTTGTGCTAACTCAGCAGTTTATGACAGCGGGGAGAAAGGAGATGCTGTCTAGAGGTGAGAGGGGTTGGCTCAGTTACCTTTGCTTTCCATTTTAAGCCTATAAAACTTTGCTGTGCTCCTGGGGAGATGTCAAAGGCTGTCTCCAGTGGCACTTGGACTGTATTGCCCTAGAGAGAGGCTGTTAAGCTCCTGACTGTCCCTGTCCTATTGCTTTATTATCTAATGGGGGTAGCTCTGCCTGATGGAAACACTGGCCCTAGAAGAAGCTTCTGTAGCTTTCCCAGCTGGGAGATAAGCAGGCATCTTGCTAATGTTGATCACTCCTTATTTCTATTGAAGTAGAACTTGCAAGCCCCAGTGAAGTCTAGGGTCTTGCTGAACAGACGCTTATGGAGATACTGTCCCAGCCCTCAGAGCTCACTGTCCCTGATAAGACCAGTCAACTGATTTTGCTCAAATCATTGCCCTGGTTTCTGTCCTTGAGCTGTCTCTATCTCTAGAAGTGTGAGAGCTTCACTGGAATGTAGGGAAGATGGTCCATGGGTTTGGGCATTAGCTTGGGATGCAGAGAACCAGAGAACTTTGTTTTCTGCCATGGACTCCCTGTGAGACCTTAAGCAAGGTCCTTAGCCTCCTGAGGTGTGTCTGCACAATGTCCCCAGCGTTCCCAGGAAGACTGTCTCTTTAGCACATCCTATCCATGCACTCCTGCTCACATGAGCCAACTACAGATGTGAGGCAGTAAAGCAAGTGTGGGGGTGCCCCCTACTGCCTTCAGACCTCTTGGAGACAGATAATGAGCTCAGTGGCAGTGGCTTCATTGCTTATTTCCATGTATGACATATGTGAGCAGGTGCAGGTGGGCAGTGCATACATGAGAGTGCAGCTCACTGGATCCCAGCAGCATGGGGGATCTAGCTCAGGAGGATGTAGGAAAATGCAGACAGGGAAGAGAAGTACTTGAGAAAAGCCACTGGGGTTTCTGACTCCTGCCTGGGTCACATCTGCTACAAGTCACCAGATGAAGATGAGCATAAGTAGCTGCAGCTCAGGGTAATATCTGTCATGCTAACAGGGCTCTTCTGTGTTTTGCAGCACATTCCCACTACCTGTATGGCCACATGCTGGCTGCCTTCCAGGACTAGCCCAGGGTACAGGCCGTGCCTGTTCCTCAGCTCCAAAGAACAGACACTAAAATCCAACCACTTAAGGCCACATGGACCGGAAAGGACGTTCTCTCCCTTCTGCTTGTACACAGCCCCCCAATCTCCTGTTTGATCCTCATAGGTACCAGTAATGTCTGTGGCTTTTCTGTCATCCTTTTTCCTCACCTGGGTTGTAGCATATACTTTTCTGAGAGAGGACATGGGTTTCTCTCTGCTGCAGGTGTGTTCAGTAGACAGCACTGTGTTTCTGTCCGAGGTTTGGGATGGCCTGACCAAACATGAGAGATGGAGGCACCTTGAATCTGGTCTGCAATATTTGTAAACCTCTTTTCTGTGTATATTTCATTTTGCCAATATTTCTGAGGGCAGCTGAGCCTGCTTGTTCTTGCCACGGGCACCTAGGAGCCAAGAGAAGACTTCTGCCAAGAGAATGAGAGATCAGGAATTCAGAACATCGCACTTCTGAATTCTTCCTCCTCTACAATACACAAGCCAGCATGCTGTGCCCTCAGGCAAGGACCTTCTGCTGAGACAGGCTGCAGTGGCACAGGGGGAAAAGGGGCTTCTAAACCAGGCTGCTGTGTTACCCTTAGGAGTGGGAAGCATCTGTGTCAATCCAAGGCTGGAGACTGCTCAATGGCAATGGGTTTGTAGTGGGGTTTATGCCATAGAGAACAAAAGACTATGATAAGGATGGAAGCTGGGAAGCATCGCCGCTGATGCAGGGCAGAGGGCTGCTCCTTCTAAAGTGGCACATTAGGCCATTCCACACAGCATTTCCAGGTACCATTTGTACACAATCGTGTGCATGTAAGAGCCAAACTGATGCTGAAAGCACCCTGAGAATTTCAGGCACCCAAGCAGAGCTGCACTGGGCTGTGTGGGGAAAGGCTGGCACCATCCCCACATCTCCCTGTCCCACCCACGAATGGACCAACAGAACTGCATGTGACACATTTTAGAAGTACCATGGTTGATGCTCCCACCTCTCATGGGTGCATAGGGAGTTCCTGCACCTTCACCCTCTCAATGCGTAGGAACTGCCCATGCCTCCCTCCTTGAGATTCCAGATAGCAATCAATTCAGGAGGCTCTTGACTCTCTCTATTTCTTCCTTGTAGGGTAGGATCTATTTGTCTCTTCATGCCACTTTTGCCTTGTGTGGCCCCTGTTTCTGATGTGGTATTTATTGATGGCTGGAATGACCCATACTTATAATGTGCTGTTTGGAAGTGCAATATCAGAGAGACTGTACAGTTGCAATGTCTTTTTGGTGTATTATTGCCTAATACAGTATTAAATATTTTTTTAATTTGAAGAGTAAGTGACCCCTTTATATCAATGCCCTATTTCTTTTGTCATATTGGTACTGCATGGATTCCAAACCCTGGAACTGGGTCAGGAAAGGATATATGTGTGTTCCAATAAACAGGATTTTAAAGCAGTGCAGGCTTGCTTGTTGTTCTCTTCTGTAAATATACACATTTGGAGATGTAGGTCCTCTACTTAGATGCTTGCACTCCAGCTTCACTGGCTATAATTTGTAACAGAAGTGAAATAAAGACAGCAGTTCTGATTAATTAAGTGCCTACCCAGAGAGCCAATAAGCATGTTTGGGGGTGAAAACATCCATGGTAGTATTTGAACAGGCTTGGTGGACCCAAGGGACTTCAAAGAGTCAGTAATCCCCTGCGTAGATGCTAAATTTGCAATTCCTAGATCTTCCCAGACAGATGCTTAGCTAACTCTTCTTGAAAATCTCCGGTGAGAGAAGTCCCACAGGCTTGAAGATGGAAACCACTACTGGGCACATCTACATGTGCATTAACGCACTTTAGTCAATGCACATTAAATCTAGTGCCTCCATTGTGAGGTACTAGCAAAATGTGCATTATCCTGTCTTAATGTGCATTAACTAAAGAGGATGGGTGCCTGTACACAATCTGGGAAACTGCTCTGACATGCTGTAACTACAGCGCGTCAGAGCAGATTCGATAAATTGAGTCTGCTGAAGTGTGGTAATTACTGTGCTCCAACCAGCCTCCACGTTCAACAAGCTTTAGATAAAGCGTGCCCACTGCCATTTTGAAGCACAGGGACGCTGATACACGAGACACTCTGGGCGTTTTAATTAGAACAGCTTTTGGAGAGCTGAGCATGTGAAAAACACCCATGGTTTTTAAGTGATGCATAAAGCACATTAGCCTATTTTAATGTGCATTAACTAAATAGTGCAGGGATTTTTCAGTGACACTTTAATGCGCATTAAAATAGGCTAATGCTCATTAATGAACTGACTGACATTCTCTGGTCTGTCCTGTGTTGTAGGAGGTGAGTCTAGAAGATCATGATGATCTCTCTGGCCTTAAAACCTAGGAGTGTTTGAACTGGTGCTTTTTCTGCAGCTTCCACGACCTGGTGCAGGGTGCTGCTGAGTGGTAGGTCCATGTTCCAAGGGCCAGCAGGATATTGCACTGGTCTGAAGGCAAGACAGCCCCTACTGCTGCTGTGAGAGGTGGAACAGGTACTCACTCCATTTGCACCACAAGGAAGCTTTTTGTTACTCAAGGAAGAGACAAGAGGGTGGGGACCAGGCTAATCAAAGGAGGGACACATTCCAACTGCCTTCTGACATTTAAATAATTATGCAAATTAAATTGTGCTGGAACCAGGACTCCATTGGGCTAAGTAGAATGGTTCCTGTCCCAAAGAGCCTCATCTTAGAGAGTACTTTGAAGACCCACGATGCTGTCAGTTAACAGGTCCCTAGCAGTAACAGCAGCTTGTAATACAGAAGCAGTGGGCGTGGGGGAGCAAGAGGGGTTATAAGGCAGAATAAAAGGGAAATGTTCTCCTGTGCAGCACAAATCTATATTAGGACCTCATCCAACTCCCACGGAAGTGTTAATTGGAAATACCGTCAACTTAACTCAGGCTAAACCCTCAGCCTGGAACCCTCCTCTCTGACTGTGTCTTGTAAACAGCTATGTTCACTCCCAGCACTCTCAGCTGATGCAGATCTAGATGTGACAAGAAGGAGCCAGCACCAGTACTGAGGCACACACAGGAGGAACAGCAGCCCTTCAACAGTAAACCTGCGAATGGTCTCAAACGAATATGCCTTTATTTAAAAAAAATCCAAATAAGTTAACAAAAATAAAAAAGGCAACTCCACACAGCGCTCAGTAGAAAAGACCTCAATGGCAGCATTTACATGGCTTCCACGCCTGCAAAACGCCAACCGGCAAAGGAAGTTGGTCAAACAGCATCTTAAAAAAAACACACACAAACATTGGCCCCCAAGGAAACAAACTTCCACAAAAAAGGGAACGAAACACAAACCCCACGCTGGAATCCTTCCTTATTACACGGAAGTTGTGTCGCTTCTCCCTCCCCCCCTTAAGTATTGTTCACAATAAATCATAACAAAATGCTTTGATCAGTAAATTCTGGTCTGGTTTTCAGAAGGGCTGGGAAACTACCACTGCCATTGGGGCCCAGCACCCCTGAAAATCATGCCACTAGCTTGTATATTAATATACAGGGTTCATTTGAACTAGCTGGTTTATCCTTTGTCTCTTAGCTGACCCAGTGGAACATTTTTCAATGATTAGGAAATTGGATCAGTGACTTCAGTCGATGACTGAATAGGTAAATGCATTTCCCAATGTCTGAAGAGTTCTTTTGTCACATTTCCACTTTCATGCCAGCTGGTAAACACTGAAGAGCCCGAGGCTTCCAGGCTCAGTTTTGAACCCTCTCCTCTTGGAACGTGACAGCCACATCCTCCACAGCAATGCTTTCAACGATTGAAGACAGGGAATGAAGGTTGCGATCTTCAGAGGAGTCATCGTTTAACAAATGATCTACAAAGAAAAAGCAAGAGACAGAGACTGTTAAAAGGTGGCTTTGAGCCCAAACTGCCAGTTGGTGTGATTGGTGGGAAGACCAAGAAAATGGGCTTGGACAACAGAGGCTGTTTGGGAAAACAATAGTTCAGAGCCAGGGAAAGATGATTGTCCAGAAAAGATTTGTTCTGAACATTAACATATTTTTAGCCATGGTACATCATAAAAGACTGGTACTTGGGGTATTACTACCCCTCCTACAAATCTAAATGGACTCGGGAACTCTGTCCCACTCTGTTCAAATCCTAAAAATCTGTTATGAACCTGGTAACACACTGTCATCTTGTCTTGCCTTCTGTAATGGAGTCACAAAAAAGCAGGGAAGAGGACCTACTCATCTTTTGCATTATCTGTTTCTCAAGGAGGCAGCAGAGTGTACTAGGATTGTACTTAGGTGCCTAAATCCACTTACTTACCTAATAGGCGGGATAGAATCTGAGTAAAACTTGCCTGGCTTCACTGACCTGCCAGGAGAGGTCATAAGAGCTTCCTCATGACAAATTCAGAGGACAGGGAGACATTCAAGTCGATAGTAACAACATAAGCAGTTCCTGTTTCCACTTACAATGCCTTTCACAAGGAAGGGGAATGTCAGAGAGGGGGAAACCACCCTCATTAAGTTGTGTGCACCATCTCTTGAAGGCCTTAAGAATGATTAAGGACCTAGAAAAGACAGGGGCTGTTCATTTTTCAGAGATGAGGGAAGAGGGAATATGATAAAAGTGTACAGAAGAATGAACGATTAACTTCTAGCTATTCTTCTTGTACTAAAAGGGTGCATTCAATGAAGCTGAAAGGTAGAACATGAAAATGGATCATAGGAAAAATGTTGTTTGTGAACTGCACGTTTGGCCTGTGGAGCTCACTGCCACAACATCTCAGCTTAGCAGGAGTCACAAAAGAATAAGAAATTCATGTAGGTGAAAAGGCTATCCAAAGTTGGAATAGTAGCCTAAGAAGGGCTTGGGGCATGAGTTTGTGGGTTATAAAGAAACTGCCCCTGAGGACATCTTGTTCTGTAGTGGCCTGCTGCTGGAGCTCGCATGCTGACATTACTAGTGCCAGAGCCAGGACACTAGACTAGATGGACACGTGGTCTAGTCAGCCCGGCAGTTCCTAAATCCTACAGTCTTCTCTCATTAGAGATTGCTCAACCACCATCTGTCTTTACATTCAACACTGAACGGTATGACACTGCTGGCATGGGGAAGAGTCCTTTGGGAGGTTTGGCTGGTTGAAAATTTCTCTCCAAGATTTTTACCAACGGAAAAATCAGCTTTTAATTAAATAGGTTTTCTTTTCCATGGAAAGTGACCGAGGTTTTTTTGAGTGCAAATGTTACGATTTTTATTGGAAAAATCCAGCCTCTGCCTGAAACACATCAACGGAATATGCTTTCTGAACAGCTTTTTGGTTAGTTGTTTGGTTTTTAGGATTTTTTCTTTCAAAAGTCAACATTTTCCCTGAACTAAGACCTGGAGGTTCTCATCTCTCAGGAATAAGCAACAAAACTCAATGAGGCAGTAAGAGCAAGCAAATCTTTGCCCTTCCCTAAAAGCAGCCCCAGAGAGGAACTTACCTAAGGCCCCAGACAGCACCCTCATAAGAGTCTTTGCTTCCATGTATAGGGAATCCAGTGATTCCCTTGTCCGCACACCACTCCTCTATCCTTCCCCACTCTTCCCATGAGTGATGCTGCACCACATTTTGGAAGTGGCAGGATGCCCATCTGCAGTGCCTCAGGAAAACTAACAATGCTGCCATTTTAACTCCATATTCAGGCCAGCATTTGGGGGTCTGTAGAAACCGTAGCTGGCTCTAGGGCAAAGAGCTATTGAGCATGGCATGTGAGGAGCCATCCTCCGGGCCCTACTGCTGCACGATGGGTGGGAGACCGTTGGCTGCTCTTGGCTCAGAAAATCCAGGCATGTTGATCCGGCTGCTGGACACCCTGTGATAGGTCTGGAGTGGGCCTGAAGACAGCTGGACTATACAAAGGGCCAGGCAAGGTGAAGGCGAGGCTGGGCCCACTGAGATGAGAAAAGGTTGGGGGAAAGACAGGGCAATAGGGAGGGAGCAAAGCCTTTTGACAGCATTACGGAGCTTTGTCTTCATGATTCAGAGGATTGTCCTCGTGGTTCCGTGACGCTTCTCTGAGCTGAACTCTGCACCTCTGTATCCTTCATCCCTGCCTTGGGCTTTATGTTTTAAGAAACCTTAAGACAGGACAGTCTGGGATATGTGCTTTGCTTACCCCCAGGGTTACTGCTGAACTCCAGCTGGGTGCTCCACTCCGGGCTGCAGGAGGCGCTGTTGGACCCACACTCACTGGCCACCTGTAATTAGAAGACCATAACCATTAGGTTTGCCCATGAAAGCTACCCTATTTTCCCACTTACCACCCGCTTCCCCCAATAAGACACACCCCTTGTTTTGGGAAGACAGAATGAAGGGGAAAAAATGAAGACACAAGAGTTTTCCAGGCATGGTCACAGGGAGCAGGTGCAGAGCCTCCTCTTCAGCTCACTCGCCCTCCTTTTCCTGCTCAAGCAAAAGTTGTAGTTTTGACCCTCTCATAGTCTCTGCCAAATTAGCAGCAAGAATCAAGAGCAAATAAATGGACAACCGAAAAACCGACCACTCTCAGAAGCACGAGGGAGGACCCGGCAAAGGTCATAAGTCTCCCATCAAACTGGCAAGATGCCACCCACCTCTGCTGCCTTGCAGCATCACCCCCAAATCACAGCAAACTCCAGCACGTGTCTCTGTGCTCCTGGTCACCCAGGGAGGAGCTTTTCCTCTCTCATGCCTGCACATGGGGTGAGGGCTCCTTTCACCTCTTCTCCAAAACCAGAACTGTGGGAACCACACAGAAAACCAGAAGGAGCTGGAGCTAAATGGTTTCCTTGGCATCAAATGGGGCTTTTGTTCCATTTGATCACCCCCTCGCAGAGTTACTCCATTCAAAGCAGTTGTAGCTGTGTCAGTGCTATGGGCTGGAGACGCTGAAAATGCCACTGACGGACACCTCCAACAGTATTTCTCAACCAGAGGAATGCGATGCCTTTCTCTTCCCCAGGATCACAAAAGAAATCAGGAGCGTGGCCCGGGGTTGAAAATGTTACTACAGTCCACTCTAAACCATAGGACTTTGCTTCCCCAGTCCCCATGTGCCCTTACACTTCAAGGTCAAGTACGGTCTGCCAACCTCTCTAAATGATTGCACAGCTATGTGTGCATTGATATATTGTTTATTCCCATGTAATAAATGTAAGTAGATATGAATGTATTTTTTTTACTTCAAACAAAAAGGGCTGCCAAAGTTCAGAAAAATGACTGTAGAGAGAATAATACATATATGCTCGTAGCTTGCAATAAAATTTGTGCGGGATGTCCGCACCATTCCTCTTTCCAAATCCACTAAGTACCTTGAATTAACTGGCAATCGGTTGCTTCCAGGTAACAATATCTGGTGTAGAGATATATTTTGTCATATCTCGTACAAATTAAAGAAGGGAAAGAATCAGAGTGAAAAATTGTAGTCAAAACTACCCTCCGCCCTTTGCAAAAAATGTTCATATTTGAATTGATTAAAGATGCCTGCTTATCTGTTCTACTGTTTTAGCCAAAAGGCTGGGGGGAGGGGAATACAATTTTTATTTGGGTATTTTTTTTAAAGTCCCTATTTTTTTATCCTAGAAATGTTTCACTGCAAAAGTGACCTTCAGTCTCATTTTGTAAAAAAGTAAAACAAAAAAGCCCGTCCCCAAAACAAAGTGAAATGTTTCATTTCAGCTCTGATAAAATCTTTGGTACTATCCCAAACTACATTTTTGTAACTACACTTTTTTCAGGAGAAAATGAACATGTTTGATTTCGGGTTAATGCAAATCAATTCTTCTCTATGTGATTGTCCAGTATGGCCAACAAACTAAAAATGGGAATATATTTGCATAGGTCTGAATATCATCACACAGTGTACAAAATCACAGGGCATTTTAAAGCCTGATTTGGCAACTTAAATTCTGAGACACTCTTTGCTGCAACAAGAGATGTGATTTTCCATTGAGATGGAGACCGTTATCTCAGTGGAAATCCCAATGGAAACAAGACACTGTTATTTGCACTTCTGTCCAGCTGGCTAAGCTAAACCCAAGTGGCCAAAATATAAGGTTGATCTCAACTATCTTATACGGAGATTTAAAGCTACCTGTTGTATGGTTTCATTATGATTATACTTCAAGGTAGCAAGCTAGCTGTCTTAATATAGAAAAACAAATATCTATTTTTGCAGGAAAAATATCATAATCATGACTTCATTTAGAGTTCTTCCAAAGTTATTTAACAGAATTAAGATAGGTTAGTTAATCGAAATAGGATTTCACTCGGCTCTGTGTGGTACTGAAGTGATTTGCATTGTACCAGTGAACTTACGCAAACCACAGATGTGCTCTGTTCTCCCAGAAATGGGTTCAATTGAAAAATAATATGTATTCTCTAAGGAATGGATCATTCATGGATTAATTAGTTTGTATTGGGAGGGTAACTAAATTGTTTAATTTCGTTTTTAGTAAAAATTTTGGTTTTATTTTTTTCAATTTTAACTTTCATTTTCAACGAATTGGGGTTATTTGAGTGATTGTTTTAATCCCTGTGAAAATGAGCAGAAAAGGAAAATATGAAGAGATAGAATAAATAAAAAATGCAAGACAAAAATTGTCAGTTTGCAGCCCAGCAATACGCAGTTTTACTTTTGATTTCTTTGATGAAAAAAACCCAGAAAGTTTTAACAGACACTTCTTTGCCAACATTTTTATGTTTAATATTTAAATTAAACACTTCTGATGACTGCTACCCAGGAGTGTGAGGAGGAGGAGGCAGCGTGTGGAAGGTTAAACAAGTTAAAAATAGTTATTATCCCTGAGGTTCTGCAAGTAGAATTGGCTGATTCACTTTGTTCTTTTGGTGAGCAGGTTACATTAACTCAGTTGTATAGGCACCAACAGGACAAGACTAATGCAAATAAATTTATCCCACTCAAGCCTATTTTCACATCTTTGTTCCTTCATCTTTGCTTCATCTGGTGGTTCAGCTGTGGAGCCTTTTAATTGTTTCTCATGTTTTCTATATAATGAAAGAAAGGTAGCAAATCAAGAAAGTGGAAGCAATTTGCACCCAGATCTGTGCCTCCGGCAGTAAAAGGTACAGAGAATGAGCTGCAAAGGGTTCTTCCAGAGAAGAGCTGAGCCCCTCCGCTCCTGCAGAGAGCTGCTGACGGGAGGGTGCTGAACACTTCTCAAGATGGGACCTGGAACACAATTCAGTTTTTCGTTTCCTAAAACATGCAAGGCATCACCTAAATCTTGCAATGATGACAAATGTCATGATTTTATTGCGGGTCCTATGATATCTGGTGTTTAACTTAAGTCCCCGGCGTCAAATGAATACAGAAGAATCTCCACTTTTCTTTGTTTAAAGTACATGTTTCACTTTCATTGTTCTGGACACAACCATGACCTGCTTCAGAAACCAGACAGCAGACCAAAAGAACCTGGAATTATCATTTAAAAGAAAGAAAATCTTATGATTTTTAGAGTCAAGCTCATGGTTTTAGGGGGCCCAACTCATGATTTCTGAATGCTTGGGGTTAGCAAGAGTGATTTGGAAAATGCCTGTTTGGACCCAGATACCCTTGTGCAGTATATTCAATAAGACAAATGTCCACAACAGGTGGCCCTACTCCCAGACGCGCCCAACGTCCTTTTGCACTCTCCTTTGCTTGCCTCTCAAGGACCATCTGCATCAACTCATTAGCTTTCAAGATGGCATGGACAGTTGTTCTTTGCATGCCCAAGTCAAGCTGTGAGTCCAGCAGAGGGAAATAACTGTGCTATTGCCTAGAGTGTTTAGCAGCCAGCCATTATGATCCAAGACAGGCATCAAGAAGACAGGATCAGTAGATTCACCAGCACCCTCCAGCTGCTGTGTGCCACTCCAGCCATGCTTTAGCTGCATGCAAACCTATTTTTTCATTCCCAGAGCAGCACAAAGTAGCAAGCACGTGTTGGGAACCTGGCCTGGTATGTCTACATGCAGGAATATACATGGTGGGGTACCCACAATATTCCAGTGCCTTTCCAATCTATTGCCTCTTTTCTGGGTGGTGCCATCTCGTCAGGGGCTGCACTTGGTTACATTTCAAACTTTTGCAACAGGGACAAATGAAGCACTGTCCCCTGCAAGGTGGGATGTCTGGAGAGTCCTCTTGGCTTGCTTGTAGGCATTGCTAGAAGGAATTTGGAGTGTTCCTGTGGAACAGGTTAAAAGTTTGGCCAAGTATGCTAGGCTGAAGGACTAGAAACCTTTGCACCAGTGCTGCTTCCATTCCTGGTCTGTTGTTCCTTTTGCCAGCCTACTTTCCGATGTCACCGGTCTCTGCCATTGTCACCTCTCTCCCATCTGCTCCTGAACCAGGGGCAGGTGCGTGGCTATAAATGGCACTCACAGTGCCTGTGGGAAGCAGTGCTCTCCCTGGTCCCTAGGGATAGGTGCTGGCTAGGAGAGCAGTGCTGTCTCAGGGTCAGGGCTCAGGGAAGCAATGCCATCCCCTGGGTGGGCAGTGGTCACTTACCCCTGGCTGGGAGGTGGTGCTGCGGTAGCGTAGGTCTCTCTGCTCCCGCTCCTGCTGGTTCAGGGTGCTCAGCAGGCTCTGCAGGCGCTCAATGTACTGTATGGCACTGCGCAGGATCTCCACCTTGGGCAGCCGCTGGTTGGGGTTCAGTAAAGTGCTCCGTTTCAGGGCTTCAAAGGCCTCATTCACTTTTTTTAACCTCCGCTTCTCCCGTAGGGTGGCAGCACGGCGCCTGTCAATGGAAACCGTTTTCCTCTTGCAGATCTTGCATGCCCACGGCAGGCACTGGCCAGGACAGTGCTCTGTTGTGGGAGAGCCCTTCTCCTCCAGCCCTGCCCTGCTCTCCGGGCATAGCCCCATGCCAGGCCGTTCTTGGTACACTGCCTGTTCGTAGCCCTGCAAGCGGGAGCTCAAGTAGTTTTCACCATCGTAAAATCTCTGGTCTGGAAAGAAATAAGCGTTGGTCTCAAAGAGCTCCATGGGCAAGTGGCTCGTGGGGGAGCAGCCTCCTTGGAGTGTGCAGCTCGGTGGCGGCTGCTCTGTCTCCTCGCACCAACTGTTTGGTGGCATTTAAATCCTGGCGCTGGCATTAAATCACAGAGATAAATATAGAAAACCTAAAGGAAACCTGAGCCTGCTCTAAGCTGCTGCCTCACATCAAAACTTGTCCATCTGATTTCATGAGCTCTCCCTGCGGGGATTAGGCTGCCTGGGCCTGCACTTTGTCCAAGGGGGGGACGGGGGAGCTGGCATGTGCTGGAGAGCAGCTCAGCCACCCCACAAACAACGGCCTCGTTTGATTCCTTCTCGCTGCTTCTCAATGCGGTGGTATTGATGCTCAGGCTGCTGCGGGGCTGGCAGCTCCTTGCTTCATTCCTGCATCATCTGCTCCTTTCAGTTACTGCTCCGGGCCAGAGCCAGGGCCTCCCAGTGTGTCCCAGAGCTAGGAAGGAAGAGCCCAGAGCTCTGCTCAAGAGGGAAAAAGGCAAGCTCAGCTTCTTCCCCTGACTGGAGCAAGCATTGCAGGTGCCCCTCTCACACCCCACCTCACCCACTGTACCCTTCACCTCGCCACCTGTGCCCATCACGGCAACCCCACTGTGTTCCTCATCCTCTTTCCCATCCCTGCGCTGTGCCTAGTACCCCGCAGCCGCTCTGCTCTTCCCTTTACACCCGCTCTGTTCCTCACTGCACTGCCTGTCACCTTACAGCCCATCTGCTCCTCGTGCCCACTTTGCCTTTTCCCTCACCTTCATGCCAGTGGCCTCACAGCTACTCTACCCTTCATTCACGTTGTGCCTGTCTTGGACCTCATCTCACTCATCCCCCACCACCACCTCTTCCACCTCTCAAACTTTGCCCCTTGCTTTCCCCACTTTGCCCCTGGCTTCATGCTTACTGTACATCTACACTCCCCCTGCTACAGCCCTGCTTTGCTCCATCCATCACCTCACCTGCCCCTCACTCTAGCAGGCTGCTCAGTGTGCCCCTTACACCACCCGCCCATGCCTGCCACCTCACCCTGCTCTACTTCTCACTTTGTGCCTCTGCTGTCCCACTTCACTGCCTTCCCGTGCTCTGCCTGTCCATTTACCTGGTCTTCCTCAGACCCACGACTATGTCTGACTGATCAGATCGATTACTCTCTTGACTTGAGGCCTGGTCCGGCACTCCTGGCACACCGAGAAGTCCCAGTGCAGCTGGAAGGTGTAGAAGGAATATGAGGGGAGAATAAAGCTGCTTTGTACCAAAGGTTGCACCCTGCCTATGCCCCAGATCCCTCTCTGAGCATCCCCTTTCATCGTCACCAGCCCATGACTCCTTCTGGTGCTCTTATCCCTCTCCTTCCTGTCCTGGTACCGCTGCCCATTGCTCCTCACGCACACCCATCCATCCCTCCATTCCAACCTATCTACACTATCTACTATCACATTGAGAACGGTGTGCCTATATGCTCCCCCACCTCTATCCCCCTCCTTTAATCCTGTCTTCTTTCCTCCCAGCTCTTTTGCTTTTGGCTTTCCTGTATGCTTTATCTCTGTTCCTGCTGTCCTGGAAGAGGTCCCTTACAACCCCAATTTCTTCTCTTGTCTTACCTTTGCCTGTAGCAACACCCTTTCTCCCCCCTAGTTTGGCAGCCTGGGCACTCTCCTGGCAAGTAAAAGAAGTCAGTTCAACCCCCCTCAGGGTGCGTTGGGCCTAGAACCTGTCTCCTACTTAATAGATGATGATACCTGACAAAATGATCATCGGCTGTATTATGCTCATGCTTCAGAAACGCAGTTTCACCCTCAAGACCATCTATGGACAGGAAAGCTGCCCTAGAAGTATTAAGAATGACATCCTGCAAAGCTCAGTACTTTCTCCATTGATTTTCAACATGTACATTGTTGACCTGCCTGACACCCAGTCCAAGAAGTATGGCTATACTGATGACCTGGCTCTCACCAAACCAAGCAAGTGATGGGAAGCTACTGAATCCACTTTGACACCAGATATGAGCACCCTTGCTGACTACTGTAAACGGTGTCTCCAGCTCAGACTCGCTAAAACAGTTGCAACTGCCTTCCACCTAAATAACAACAATTGAAGAAAGAAATCAAAGTCAAGATTGATGACCAGACACTTGAACATTGTCACACCATCACTTATTTGGGAGTCAAGCTAGACTTTACCTTACCTACCGCCACCATCTGGAAAGGATCCAGGGTAAGGTTAATAGCAGAGGAGCTCCTGCTGGCATCCATCACTTTGCTGGTGCATCCATCTGGGGTGCAAGTTTCCAAACACTTTGCACCTTTACTTTGGCACTTGTGTATGCTCTTGCTGAGTACTCTACACCAGTATGAGGCTTGAGCACGCACACTAAGTTAGTGAATTCCACCCTTACCAGTGTCATGAGGACCATTGCTGGATACCTTATTCCAACTCCAGGTGACTGCTTGCCAGTCCTCTCAGGCAGTCCTCCTCCGACATCAGAAGACAATCTGCTACCCTGGTCTTAGTCCTCAGAGCCCAAGAACCGGACCATTCTTTGCACTCCAGCTTAGTAGCCACAACCCAGAAAACCAACTACCACCTGAAGACTCAGAATCCATTCTCCACTTGAGCCAACAAGCTCATTGAATCTGCAGATGGCATATCACCTACAGCACAGACCTCCCATCAGTGGAGTAGGAAACATACTGCACAAGAACTGCAGCTAAAAAACTTCATCCCTTTAGGATGGGAGCTGCCCTGCAGGGCCTGGACTGACTTAACCATCTCAGAATGGGCGTTGGATGGTTTGAGGTGAGCATGCACTCTTGGGGCCTCTCCAACAACACTGGCTGCAGCTGTGGTGCTCAAGCTCAGATTTCCGACCACATCATTTATGAATGCCTTTACGGCCCTCCTTTGGGTGCCCAAGGTCTTATTGACATTGATCATTATACCTGTTGCTGGCTTTCTGGCCCTCGTGCTTCTGACACATGAGTGTAGTGACACCTGCTTGATCATCACTGGACAAGAGCTCTAACTACCAGACCGTTGGACAAGAGGTAGGCTTCTTCTCCCTAAGCAGCTGTGCTCAGAGTACTTCAAGCCCCTTAGTACTTAAGCGTAGGGAAGCCTAGTTTGTGGATAACAAACATCTACAGAAGGGATTTGGACACGAACATGCATCTCTTTCAAGGTTGCATCTCTTTAGGTGGACACACTAAGCGTATGTATAATTGTTTATGAAGTCTAAATTCATTCTTGCCTAAGTGCTAGAATATGTAGAACTGTGATAAAATTCTGTGATGGCTTCACATAAACCTATTCTTTTAGGTGGGACTGTGTTGAAACACAAGTTAAAGAAAAGGCACCTACATTCTACCATCTGTATCCCTTTATGATTCTGGGCCATGCTGTACATAGTATTGCTCAGTAAAGATGAAAGACAACATAGACACTATAGGACTTTGAACTGCACGTTCCAGTGACTGAAGACGCTGTCCTGGATTACAAAGATAACCGGTTCCTTCAACAGTGGTTAGAGCCTTTCCTCTTCTCTACAAGCTCATGAAACTTTGTAGATGTCCGTTAATGAAGCTTTGGTATTCCCTGATGAGGGAGCTATTGTCTCACTTTGCAAACAGGGAAACTGAGGCACGGAGCAAAAAAATAACTTGGCCAAGCCCACATTGTGAAGTAATGGCAGTGCCAGGATTAATCTGGCTTCTGTACTTTGCCCACTAGCCCTCATCTCTCCATCTTTGTATTTAATTTAGATATCATTTTTATTCCAGGAGGAACATAAAAAAATGCTGACCATATTCTCCTATTCAGGGAAAGCCAGTCCAATGCTTCAGGCCAAATACCAGCAGAGGGATTGGTCAGTGGAAAGAATGTCAGCAAAGGGAAGGGCAAAATGTGACAATATTTTCCTTCCCCAAAACCCCCTCCCTGTGGGAGGAACTTGCTGTTTAACATTCATTTCTTAACCCACATACTTAAACTCCCGGTGACTTCAGGCACATCTCTAGCATTTTTAGAATCTGCTGTTAGTACAGTCTGAAATCAAAGCCTCTAGCAGTTTATTTCTAAGGACTGGCCCCTTTCCAAGTCTCCCATTCATCAGCAACCGCTGGAAAAGTGACACCTATTCAACTTCTAAAAGGAGTGAGAGTGTCATCCATGGGAGGATGTTACTCTTGGGATCCTGGCCCTTTCCAGTCCAGTCCTGGCATTCTTCTTTCCCCACCAGCACATATGCTATGTCATCACCAGAGACACAAAGATCTCAGTAGATCCCTACGGGCTCTCGGGTCCAACCTGCAGTCTCTCCCCATGTCCCCAAGTATGCTATGTTGCCTCCTGGAGTGTGCAAACATCTACATAACCTCACTTCCAAGTGTGTATCCACTATGCCAAGGCTGTCAAATTCACCATCCCAGGTCAGATCCTGGAAGTGATCTAGTGATGGTGTGATGCAAGCAGTGGTGGCAGTAGGGGGGCCAATGACCGAGGTGGCAGGCCAAGTGGTGGTGGGTCAAGTGGGCTTGTGTTGGTACAGCCCTTGCTTATCCCCCCATCTCCACGCTCATGCCCCAGGGAGTCCTGTAGCCCCAAATTCTGCAGCAGCTTCCTCCCCCTGCTAACCCCACCCCAAATTCCCTGGAGCCCCTTGGACTGGAGGGAACAGCTCCACAGTGTGGGTTCAGCCTGTAAGCTGCATGCTTGGACGCCCCTGCACTGTGCCATTCCCTCCAGTGCACGGAAGTAGCGTGCAGGATTCAGAATACTTCAGGTAGATGATAGTGTTAAAGCCCATTTCAGGATCACTACACCAGCTCCTCCAGCCCGTTGGTGTCCTGTGTGACCTGAGCAAAACCATTCAGCCAGCATGACCCCCCCCCCACCAAATGATGATTGCTTTGGCTGAGAGTCGCTCATTAATAACTTCACTCCTGCACCTTCTGCTTTTAGTTTAAAGCAATCTGGGTTCTCCCAACATAGTGTTTGCCATCCTGATGGGACTGGACACCACAGTGGTTTCAAACACTT